GGGGGGGGGCATCTGCACCGCACTTTTTGACCCGCAATTGCCGCTCGCTCCCCCCCCCTCTTCCCCCGCTCTCTCGTGTTATGTGTGTATGATTTGCTATACGACGACCTTTGAACTTTCGGACACGCCACCAATATATATATAGACTATTTCAAAGCGCACATGAAGTCTTTTTGTTTTTTTGTTTTTCATTTTCATTTTCATTTTCGTTTTTCATTATCGGTTCCAATTCTCATTTCCACCACGCCCCGCTAGCACTCAAGTCCCGTTTCACTAGTGATTATCGCTGCCCGGCCGTTGCGTTTGTTTGGTCATTTTCACTGTTACTTTCTGCGTCGTGCTGCAAGTTTAATCCCATGTCTCCCCACCTTTTTTTTTCTTTTAAACCTCATTTTGTGACTGCAAAGCAGCACGACGAATGTGCATTAATCTCGCCATTAGAAGGAAGAAGGAACCAACGAAGAGGCTGGCCATGAATGACTTATCCATTGTCTCTGTCTTGTCCATCCACCAGTCCAGGTGATGATCTTCCCTAACATGATCTTCCCTAACATAGCAGAGATCATTGCTAAGGAGGTGAGCATCTCTCCGTCTTCTTCTGCGATGCCCATTCTGGAGAAATGCGCGGGTATTCTCGTGCTGATTACGATTGAAGCCTTCATGGAGACCATTCTGATTACCGTCCGTGAGACATGATCACAATGGTGGACACACAACACACATGACACCCACACACATGGATGGATGGATGGATGTGCACTCAGTTACCTTCGCAGCCTCGCACGCTCCTTAATGCGCTCCCATGCCCACCCCTCGCTGCCCTCCCTCTCCGCCTCCTTCTCCTCCTCTACATCGTCCTCTGACTGGTCATCAAAATCCTCTCTCTGTCTCTGTGGGCTGCGCAGAGGAGGCTTCTTGCTGCCCCCTCCCCCCAAGTTGTGAGCCACGTACGAGTGGCAGTGAACAGGTGCGTGTTTGTGTTATACCACTGGTAGGCAAGAGAGAGAGAATGAGCTCGTCCTCACCATCATCAGAGGCTGAGGTTACAGGTAAAGGCTCACAGACATATCATCGTCTCTTGCGATCCCTCTCTATGTCCTCCGCCGTCGCTGAGGATGGTGCATGCTGGCGTGTTTGTCGCGTGATTGAGAGTTGGTCGTTTGACGCAGTTCATTTCATGAGAGACCGACAGACTCTACCTGCCGTTACGCTATGACTCATCAATGTGTTTCCACAGGAGCCCAGATTTGCTAGGGTTTGTTACGTAATACAAGATCTCCATCTCTAAACCACCCACATATCCACGGACACACACACACACACACACACGTGTCAAAAATCGCATACATTCGTGCAGCCATTCGTTCTTCGTCACAGGAGAGAGGGGAGGGGAACGGGGGTATCAACAGTGTATGTTAACATGCACGCGCCAGTCAGTCAGTCAGTCACAAAAATCTAGCAGCATCTCATCGACCTTCTTACATAGACGCGCTCACCCACGCACACGAGGGAGGCCGTGCGCACGCCGAGACATCCTGGACGCCCTCACGCCATTCACGCGGCGACGGCCACCTTAGTCTCCTCTTGCTGGTCCTCCTCTTCTGACGGCGGCTCCACCCAACGGCCGTGCTCCTGACAGACGCACACAGAGCGAGACACAGAGAGAGACAGGGAGGCACAGGTTGGTGTCGTGTCTCGTGTGAATGGGCTGTGTTGTGTGGCTCAGTGGGTGGCTGACCTTGATGAGGTCCACGAGTCTGTCGCAGGCCTCCTCGTTGGGGATGCCCCGCTTGACCACCTCCTTTCCCACATACAGGTCGACCTTCCCAGGCGCCCCACCCACATAGCCGAAGTCCGCATCCGCCATCTCACCCGGACCATTGACGATGCACCTACAAACACAACACACAACACACAACACACAGCGCCCACAGTGTGCTCATGCCGCCCGTGAGCGTGTTTCGTGGCTCTGAGCGCTTACCCCATGACAGCGATTGAGACGCCCGGCAGGTGTCCCGTTTTCTGCCGTATCTGTTCGGTGACCTCCTGCAGGTCGAATAGCGTCCGACCGCACGAGGGGCACGAGATGAACTCGGTCTTGATGTTGCGCATCCGGGAACCCTAAAAGCGTGTGGATGTGCCTGTGTGGTGCTGCAGCTCCGTGCGTGTGTGAATGAGTGTGGCCTCACTTGAAGGATGCTGAAAGAGATGAGCCTGAGGTCCTCAAGGGAGAGCGGGGCGGAGGCGGGCAGACCACCCTGTGGGAACACCCCCACACACAGGTACCATGGTGTGTGCTTGTGTGTGCCTGTGCTACGCTATGCGTCTGTGTATCCACTCCCCTCTCACCTCGACCTCGACCATGATTCCCTCGCCGAGTGCGTCCACCAGCAGAGACCCCACCTCCACACCGCTTGATATCACCAAATCCTGCACACACAACACAACCACACGCGCAAATGGATGCGACACATAGATATCTGCAGCCGCATCCCCGGCCACCCACATACGCACATACGCACAGACCTCAGCGTCGCTCGCCTCCTCTTGGGTAAAGTAGAGGTGGTGGATCACTGCCACCCTCAGGCCCGCGCGCTTGATGTGGTCGAACACCCTCCTCGAGGCGTGCAACCGACTCAACGACGGCTTGATGCGCAACAGAATCAAGGCCGGGGACGGCTGAAACACCACACACACACACACACGCACACGTCGGTTGTGCAGGGTTTGCTGTGTGTCTGTCTGTCTGTCTCTCTGGTTTCCCATGTTGGTTCGTACTTTCATTGTGCTGAGCTGCTGGAGCTCGTCATCGGTCTCATCGCCTTCCACCTCAACCGCAAGACGAATCACACCCTCGGGGAGCGCATAACCTGCACGCCCACATCCACCCACGGATGGATGGACGAGTGCATAGAAATGTGTGTGTGCAGCGGTTGTGTGTGTGTGTGTGTCTACCGTCAGGGCCGGTATCTCTGATGTACTCCTTCAGAGTTATCACCCCAACCGCATCGGCGACTGTGGGTGATTGAGTGGGTGAGCGTGTGTGCAGAGCACAGAGGACAACAAATGCCATCGATTTTGGCTTGTGCGAGTGGTCTGTGTATCTTCGTGCTTTGCTTCTGTGGCTCACGTGGCTTTGCCCTCAGCTCTGCCATGGGCGCCAGGATGCCCACGTTCACCTACAGAGAGGTATCCCATAACACACATCGCATTGCATTTTCGCGAAAAGCTGTGCCACGTGGGTATGTACAGCGCACATACCTCCTGCAGTCGTCTGAGTGCGAGCCTCCTGCCGGCGTCGTCCGTGTCGGGCAGGCGGCGCATGAAGATCGAGTCGCTCGTGGCGATGTCCTTGAAGGGCATACCCACCACCAGCTTGCACCCAAGCTGCGCGTACAGCTTGTCCTGTGACACACAGCGCCACACAACGGGGAGCGGTCAGGGGGGCTGTTGGGTGGCTGGGTACACCCTCACAGGTTGTTGCAGGTCGTCAAGTGTGACGGCGCTGAGGACCGATCCGTCTCGGTTGAGGAGGCCCCGCACGTCCCACGTGTCCGACGGCTCCTGGGAGGGAAGATCCACCTGGGGTCGCGCAATCACATACACACATAGATACAACAACATGCAGCAATCGAGTCGATGTGCGCATATTCATGAGCTTGGTGTGTGTCTGTCTCGTGTTGTGTCTGTCGTGGTGTACTGTACGCACCTCTCTCCTCGAGAAGGTCTGGAAGTCGCGTGTAGTCTCTTCGAACTCGGGGACAGCCAACTGCACACAAACACACCACATCACATCACATCACATCAACTACAAGTGCGGTGGGTGGGGAGGCAGTGGCTGCATCAAGCACCTGTTTCTGTCTCGCTTCGGGTGTCAGTTTGCTCCTGGCGATGTCGGCCAGCTTCCCACAGGGCGTCAGCTCGTACCACGGGTCCTGACAAGCAGGTGGAGGGGACAAACACACACACACGTTGAAACATCCACCCAAATGTGTGCATACGTTTGTGTGAGGATCTGTCTGCGCGCGAGTGTGCGTGTCGGTGGGGTGGCTCCCTCGCCCCCTCCCTCCCTCCTTGCTGCATATGGTACGTACCTCAGTGAGTGAGACCCTGATTGTGTCGCCGATGCCGTCCTGCAGCAGCGCGCCGATGCCTATGGCGCTCTTGATGCGACCATCCTCACCTGCAAGACAACACACCATTCACAACTACCTGTTTGTGTGTGTACTGTGGGATATTCTGCCTCTCACCTTCGCCCGCCTCGGTGACGCCCAGGTGTATGGGGTAGGCGAAGCCGCGCGCATACATCTCGGCTACCAACAGCCGATATGCCTGCACACGCACATTGACAAATCGATAGGTAGGTGATACAGACAGGCGCGTGTGTCGGCGTGTGTGTATGGGGGCAGGGGGATACCTGCGCCATGACTAGCGGGTTGCTGGCCTTCATCGAGAAGCAGAAATTGTGATAGTCGTTGGCCCTGACACCCATACACGTATTGGGTATGACATGGCTGAATATGCGGGCACCTGCTGCCCCCCTCCCTCCCTCCCCCAGCACAATTCCCTCCCCACCGGCAGATGTCTGCAAATTCCAGCGCCGACTCGACCATGCCTCTCGGGGTGTCACCTGCACACACCCACCCCACAGACGCATCTTCATGTGTGTACATCCCTTATGTGTGTGTAGATCCGATCCGTGTGTTATGGGTGGGTACCGACCGAAGAAAGAGAGGATCCTGTTGCTGAGAGAGCCGTGGTTGGTGCCGATGCGCATCGCCCGGCCCAGTGACTTGCACTTCTCAACCAAAGGGGTGAACAGCTGATGGATTGTACGTACCCAGGTGCCCAGACACAACGTCACACTTGTGTGTAGGGACGGACATACAGCACGGCCTCTCTGCGTGTGTCCGTGTCTGTGGCCTCTCGCTAATTAACCTCTTCGATGCGCTCACGGCCCTTCAGGAAGTCACTGTAGTCGTCAAACACCTGAACAACGCACACACACGCGGTCATGCGAACTATCTGCACGCACAATGCACAGTGTGGGCGCTCGCGGCACTTACCAGTTGGTCGAATTTCTTGGCCCCGTCGGCGAAGTTGCCTGGGTTGACGCGCACCTTCTCAAAGGCGTCGGCAACCATCATGGCCACCTGTCACACCACACACAAGACCACACACGAGACAACACATCCATTCATGATCCATCCATCCATCCAGGGCTGGGTGGCTGACCTTTGGGGCAAAGTGTATGTCGGCCACGAGAGGGATGTCGTATCCTTTTTTGAAGAGCTCCTCGCGGATGGCGGCGGCGGCCTCGGCCTCCTTGAGGCCCTGCACCGTCAGACGACAGATGTCCGCACCCGCATCGGCGATACGCATCACCTAATCCAACCAACCAGCCAGCCAATGCAAGGCACAGGAAGGCGTTCAGGATTCAGGTCAGGTCAGGTCACTCGGGCAGCGGCCATGTTTGTCCGTGTGCGTGTCACGTCACCTGCTCGACACTGGCTTTGACGTCTCTAGTGTCTGACGTGGTCATCGTCTGCAACGCGATGCGATGCTGGCCGCCTGCATCCGTCGCGTCGCACCCATACACAAGGTCGAGTGACGTGCACGTCTGCAGTGCATGCCAGCCAACAGTGTGTGCCCGCACCTACCTATCGGCACTTTGCCGATCCACACGGTCTGCGAAGGAAACCTGCAAGACAAAAGGCGTCCGTCCATGAGTGAGCGCTCGGAGGCAGGCAGACATGACATAACGATAGACGGCGGTCGATGGACTGTGCTGACCTCTCAGTGGTCCTCAGCGACTCGCAGTACTTCTTGAGGTCGGCCGGCGACGTCTGTCCGGGCATCAGGATGGGCGACGCTGCCTCGGTGTCCATCAGCTACACACAGCATGCACAAACACAACACAGCACAGGACGCTCTCATGCAGCTGACGTTGTGCCATGATGTGCTGCACTCACGTATTGACTGCGCCGTAGCCTCTGAAGACGCGGACCGTCAGACCTGCACAATTTAACACACCAGAGCCATATGGTACAGACAGACAGCCATTGCCTGCACACAGGTAGACAGACGCACACACACACACACACACCTGAGTGGTGTTGTGCCAGGCACCACGAATGCGCCGCCAATCTCGCCGCATCGACCAACGTGACTGCCTGCCAACAGCAGGAGCAGTGCGGCTGAGCGCATGGCAGAGCCAGCCACGCACTTCATTCACGGACGCCCGAGATGCGATGTGACGCAGATCAAAATCCGCACCGGATGTCAAACTCTGACCTTTTTTGGCTTGGCCAGCGTCTTATTGCAAGCGCATGACCTCGGATCTTGGCGAAAAAGGTGGTCGCCTCTTGCGAGCTTTTCAATACAGGGTGTTTCAATACAGCAACGCGCATTGCGAAGAAGCAGAGCGCTGCCAGGCCTTGTTGCAATCGATTAAGTTTGTTTTAAGTCCGCGAAGGCGCAGAGATGTCGTCGTCGTCGAGTGGCAGCGGAGATCCGAAGAAGATGCGTCTGCTGTCGCTGACACTGTACCGCTGGAAGCCCGACCACCCGGTGGAGCTGTCGAGTCACTATGACCTCTCCCACTTCCCCTTCTTCCAGCGCAAGACGGTGCAGGAGCACATTCGGTTCCACAGCCGGCTGATATGCGCCCGCACGCCCGTCGGCCGCCGCCAGTCGGTGGAGTTCGAGCAGAACCTCGGCAACTGCCACGTGTACGTGCACCCATCGGGCCTCGCAGCCGCCGTACTCACCAGCGCAGAGTACCCAATGCGGGTGGCTTTCTCGATGCTCAGCGAAGTCCTCAGGCTATTCCAAGACGTATGTAAGCACGGAGCGGAGAGCATTTGTCGCTCTGCATCGCACCCTACCATTGTGGGAGAGAGGGAGGGAGGGAGGGAGGGGCATGGCACGCACAGCATAACACAAACACTGATGATTTTTCCAATTTTCCTCGTGTGTTTTGTGTTGTGTTGTGTGCAGAAGTATGGTGGTCAGTGGGAGAACACCGACGCCGACAGGTCCATCGGCTTCACGGAGGGCGACGAGTACGTCAAGAAGTTCCAAAACCCCGCAGAGGCTGACAAACTCACCAAAGTGCAAAAGGACCTGGACGAGGTCAGTCAGCCACCGGTGGCATGCCATGCCATCCACATGGGGCAGGCAGCAGACATTAAAACAAAACGACCGATTGATCAGCGCATGTGCGTGTGTGTACGTGTGGGTGTAGGTGAAGGACGTGATGCTCAAGTCCATAGGTGAGATGCGCTGCTCGTTAGCTACACACACACACACTCATCCACAGACACACCAGACCCTTGTGTGTGACGTGACCTGGCGTGTGTGTTGTCGTCCGTCCATTCATTTATCAGAGGATTTGCTGCAGCGTGGCGAGACGCTCGATTCGCTCATGCAGAAGAGCACTGACCTCAGCCAGACGTCATACCAATTCTATCGGACAGCCAAGAAGAACAACCAATGCTGTCAGCTTTACTGACGGACGTTCTCTCTGCCCACCCCACCCCCTCACCTGACCCTCTACCTCTCTCTCTCTCTGCTTCTTGCTTGCTTGGCTTCTTTACGTGATAATTGACTGACTGTGCGTGCCTGCCATACAATGGCGGCCGTCATAGTGTCCAGGCAGGCCGACGACAGACAGACAGACGTGGTCCGGAATAGATAGCGATGGGCCGGCCCTTTTTTGGCGTGTGTGTGTGAGCAGCAAAACAAGACGCACGAGTGAGTGAGTGTATTTTGACGCCGACACACGACACTGTCTTATCTATATACCTATCGCCCGAATAAAGAGCAGCATCGATCGACGGCATGAAAGCCCTTATCCCGTCTTCTCTTCAGAGTGCCCTCTACACAATGTTTGAAAGTCAAGGCTACCTCTCTGTCTGACTTGGAGGGACATGAATTACAATGTACTTCCACCCTCTGCCCCATTGGTGGTCCATCGGTGTCGACGCCATGATGATTTTCGTCAACTCGGTAAGCCGTGATTGTTATCGAATGACAGGTTGTCATTCTCGATGGCTGCAGGTCAAGCCTTCAATGGCAGACCCAACAATTGACAACGGACCCCCGCAGTGCTCGACAGGCGACTGCGTTTTCAGTTCTGACTTCTGACTTCGAGCCACTGCGATTAAGGAGACTAATGTGTGTGTGTGTGTGTGTTTGGTCCATGCATGCACGCAGTATCAGAAAATCGCTGACCACATGATGGCCAACGCCGCATCGGTGCCCAAGGAGACAATCGAAGAGCAGAGGTAAAGTGTGTCTCTTCAGTGAGCCAGGCAGGTCATTCAGGCACCCAGTCGTCGGAAGACATGTCTATGCTTAATGTTGGCGCCTCCAGCTTTGCATACACTCTGAACTCACCCACCCATGTATGTATGTGTATCTCAACGTCGAGGAGACGTATGGGGGTGCTTGAGGCATCGCAATGACAGCAGGAGAGTGTGTGAAAGGAGGAACTCACTCAGCGCCTACTTCATATTCCCGTTGAATTGTTTGCTACGTGCGACGCGTACGCTCATCCCATTGTTTTCACTACTTCTCTGCTGCAGTCAGACAAGTTGCCACTTCTCTCAGCAGTCGCAGACTTTCTCTTAGCTGCACAGAAGGAGCGTACCCGTTGGCATGTCGCCTAGTCAGTTTGATGAAGAATATGATTTGGTCTATGAGCTGCATGAGATGGAGCAATGGGTTCTTGAGGCTGACTTGTCAGACTGGCACATATATGGTTAACCAACCGTATGGCACCAGGTCCACATTGCCAAATGCCACAAGTATAATCCCACTCATCAGGCGCAGACAGATCGAGGTTAACACGGACGCACCGAGAAATTGGACTTTTCTACGCTCGTGTCTTCTTAAGAAGGGCCCAGGCCAAGAGACACAAGCGAGAGCCGAAACCACACACAAATGCAGTCCGTATGTAATGTGACACGTCTGCGCGGTGAGCGCCCTGTCTGCTTCATTCATCAAAAGGCAGGACTGACGTAAGGACAGAGTATCGATTCGATCTCCTCAAATCGCTGCTTGCTAGCGACACGCCCTGTATAACCCCTTACCAAGTAGAAGAAAAGAAAAAGAGTCATAGCTTGTGCAGTCCACCATAGCACGACTATTCTCAGCCACATCACGCCCCTCTCGCGCTCGGCTCGTAAGACGGGTAAATTGTGCAGACGCACCAGCAGCTGTACAAGAGAGAGAGACGAGGCTTGTCTACGGTGCATTCACCGGCTGTCTCAATGTCTCACGGACGGTAATCAGAATGGTCTCCATGAAGGCTTCAATCGTAATCAGCACGAGAATACCCGCGCATTTCTCCAGAATGGGCATCGCAGAAGAAGACGGAGAGATGCTTACCTCCTTAGCAATGATCTCTAATATGTCAGCGAAGATCATCACCTGGACAGGTGGATGGACAAGACAGAGACAATGGATAAGTCATCATGGCCGGCCTCTTCGTTGGTTTCCTCTACCGTGGACTCCGTTAGCAGCGTGATCGACACTTGGTCGGCAACGGCCCTCATGTATCGCGGCGAGATGCTCTGTGTGGCAAAAGCGACACTCATTGACACCTGTCGAAGCAGCCCGGAGTCGCCTCTGCTGAATGAAGCGCGACGGTCGGCCGATGTTTCCCCATGTCTCGCCTTCAATGCCGAAAGTCTTGCTCTTGCCCATCGCCTTGAGCCCACAAACATCAGAATGCCTAAAAGACGGAGCGCGTCCAAACATGTGCACAAGGTATCCATCCTTACGGTACGGTTGCATCGTGTCCGTGACAAAGTCATACCTGCATTCGAGAATTGGCATGCTAACATGACAGAAAAGTATCGCACTGGCTCCATTTGTTGACTTACATTGCGAAGAGAAAGGAATTAAGCGCCTTACTCGATAGCCTCTCCATCTTGGCTTGCATCAATCTTGCATCAGACTTGCGGGCACGCAATGAAATAATCGATGTGGTTCAAGGTCCATTATCAAGTCACCTTGGAACAATTAAGTAGGAAAACGTGATGTAATTGAGTAGCAGTGACGGCGTCAAGGGGTGACCTTGCTGAAGCAGCCACAAGGAGAATGTCACAGCTCACATGGGTATATTGAGCAGAGCGTCGTTAGATGTGCGTGTGCTTTCTCTTGCCTTGACTGAGCGGCAAACATAGCTTGCCAAACTCATGAATGGAGCGCCAGTGATCATTGCCACTATCACTATCCTTCCACGCTCGCTGTCGCTTGTCGCTACGGCCCCGCGAGGAAGGAACACAGTAATCGCGAGAAACACCCACACCTGGAAGAGAGTCAAAGAGTGGGGCCAATTGAATCGTTCACATTCACACAGAGGCTTTATCAACAAGTAAAGACACACCTGGAAGAGGCATCTGGGAAGGAAACAGTGGACAATACACTGTGAGACACGTATTGATCATCGTATTGGTGCGATTATTGCCTACATCAGAGTCATCTGGGTCGCATACTCCTTTTTTCTTGCGAAGTGCTCTGTCTGAGCTGCGCGATAAAGCACCAGGGCGCGATACAAATGGTTAATGCCCAATGCAATACAGCGATCATACGCCTCCATTTTTGGGGCCAGCCTTGAAAATGGGAAACGCTGAGTAGAACGCAGCATATCAACATAGGACCGAAAATGGGTAAGGTCCGGCGCATGCGAATCAGGCTGCGTCGCAGACAAGGGCCCTCGATCAGCAGGGAGAAAACCACGGGAAAGCTGAGGATTGTCAACACTCGCCTGGCAATATCGAGCAGTATCCAGCTTCGATTCCATGAGTCTCTCGACTGGACGCATCCAAAATAGAGGCCGACTCCGAGAGCTGACAATAATCCCGCGACGATAAAGGCAATTGTGACTTGACGGAGCACGCTCCATCCCGCACGCCGCAGTGTGATCGAGAGGGCTTCTGGAGTGTATCTCGCGACAACGACCTCCTCTGTTGTCCCGTCATGCCTTCTGATGGGGCGGTATTCAAGGGTGCTGTCGAACTCCTCGTGCGCCGCAAAGTCAGCCACAGTCCGAAACTCACGCACCGACTCTGTTATCTCTCTCTGGGCAAATCAGAAGACAAAAAATACTGCATGCCTTCTGCGTCTGTGTGAGTTTGTGTTTGTGTTTGGGTGTGTGTCTTACCTCCTCCTTCCGAAGTGCCTTAGCTTGCCCTCGAGCTTGCCCGCCCTCTGCCAAATTGATGTCCTCACAGCTGCGCTGCCAGCCCATTTTGGTGTCCTCAGCAGCCCCAGGCTGACCCTCACTAATCGCGATGGTGGCCGTCCTGTCCGTTGCTGTCCCGGTATCGCACACATGATCCTCTCCTCCTCTCGGGAGGTCCCGATCACCGTTCAATGACATCATTGGTGGCTTGGGGGAGAACCATGTTAGAGTGAGGCTTCTGATGCGTGATGCGCCCTCGGTCCGGGACATCCGCCTTTCCTTCAAGTTGTCTTGAGTTGCCTGGGGGCCCCCACCCTGTGGACCGGCGATCGCGCGGAGACGCATGATGGCTACGATGTCAGCGACAGAAAGGTCCGTTGTTTGTCCTCTCTCACCCACCGGCGGGATAGTACGGGTTTCTCAAGTGAACGGCGATGATGAGCCAGATCTCGATGTCACCAGCATCTCATCCGATCGGCAAGCCACAGACTCACTGGATGAAGGCAAGAGGACAGTCGATGGCGAGCACCTCGTGCAGAACGACCACTGGCATCAGACCGACACTGCGCAGCCCGTCGATTGCGCCACGCACCTTGTCAATATCCAAGGTGATGAAGGACACGGCGCTGAGCACCGAGCCATCTACCGGACAGCACTCTCATCGACAAGCACCGCCTTGACGCTGGCAGAGACGCTCACTGGCCCGCAGAAGAAGAAGCAAACGCACAGTCATCCCCCTGAGGAGCTTATGAATGGTGACGAACGAGACACGGAGGGAGATGTTGGCTTAAGGGATTCAGGCTCTGGCAGTCAGCTGCACTGCGAGGAGCGTGCGACAGCAGAGTTTATGTATGAAGAACATCCAACTACGCTAGAGTACAAGGCGATATCCCTACCCGACGGCAGCACAACAGAGGTCCTTGTCGGCAACGGTATGTTCCACCTCCACAGCAACCACCACCACCTCCTCCCCCACCACAAATTCCTCCCGCTAATGGAGGTTTGCCTGAACCATTAGAAGAACCGCCTTATGAACCGCAACCTAAACCAATTGAACCGCCACCTCCTGCATTACCCGAACCAGCACCCGAACCACCAACTAATTTTCTACCCGATTATCAACCAGAACCTGAAACAGGGGCAAGACAAATAGCACCACCTGCACCGGAGCCACTACCTGACATTCCACCCGAATGGAACCCTCCTGCAGCAGCCTATTAGCCACCAACAACACACAGGACAACAAAAGCCCCAAGAGTAGGTGAGAATATACAACCACTACTACAAATTCCACGTTAATTTATTCTATTACCGCATCTGTAAAAAGAGTTTCAACTTTAATAAGAAGTATTTATGATTTTGCCTGTGTGCTTCGCCAATGTGGCCATGCCAGTCTTGCAATTCTTCACGAAGAGGTATTTAATGATGGCAAAAAAAATTCAGAATTTTATCAATATTTTGATAATGCTACCAATAACTATGGCTTTATTTCAGTGAATGCACGAAGTCCTAACACAGAAATAAAGGAAAATTACTGTGATTATAAATCCTTTGACAGACTGACTTATCTGAATAATACTCACATTCATGTGTCCAACAATAGTAAGTAATCTCTCAAATTCCTTACTTCTCGTATCATCCATCGTAGCAATACTATCATCAAGTATTAAAAGCACTCGTCTTCGCTTTTTTGTCTTTTCTTGATGCTCTGCTAACGCTTTTATCTGCTCTTCTGTTATTTTGGTTAAAATTTTATGACGTTTTGCACCATTCTTCAACCAGAGTTCCGGCTGAACTGTCACTATAAGCTCATCGTCAAACTTATTTCTATCCCGCAAATACCGATATAATGATAATGCAATTAGGGTTTTTCCGGTATTTATGCGTCCCGTAATTAATAATATCCAACACTTCTTCTCGTTCGCTATCTTATTGAATAGCTCTCGGTAGTTTTGTATTTTTTCGTGCATCTCATTAATATTATATATATAAGTGCTACTTTTTCTTCGGTTTCATTTTTGTATTCACTACTCGTTCAATCCGCCGAGCCACCTGCTCCGCATTTTTTACTTTGGCATTTTTTAGACGCTTCAAAAAAAAATGATATAATATCTTTCCATCATTATTATCCTTGTTTGTATTTTTGTTTTTTTTCAGTCGTTGAAGCAAATTATTAAGCATGATATAGAATTAATTAAATACTTATATGGTAAAATTCAAAAGAGCAACAGAAATTTTTTAATTGACTTGAACAAAGTATTTAAAATTCAACGCTGTGCACCGTGACGTGACAATATATGACAGTTTCCACCTGCCCTACCACCATCTGTTCATTTTCTTGCCATTCACCATCTGTTCATTGCTCATTGCCTTTCCATTTCTTTTTCTCAGTTGTCACGGGTACATTTTTCATCTCGTGGCAGTCGTCTTTTAATTGTCAATCATCTCTTGCTGCTTTTTCTTTCTTTTGAGGCACAGGCAATTGTTCCCTTTCTCCTCGAGCCACGCTTGTTAACACTAAACCCCGTCCACTCTCCCTGTGAGAGTTGACCGTTAGCAGCTTCAGCCGTTCTTTTATTTGGCTCGTACAGTAAATTCCGTATACCATCCTTTGGTGAGGTGTGAACCTCTGCGGTGTGTGACAGTGGATCACCACGCTTTCCACTGAACTATGGTGGCAGGTGTGCAATTGCGGGTCTGCTCAATATGGAGGAGGTGGTAAATCACTTACTGAGCTCGCATCGTCTTTTCAGCGGGTCTCTTGTCGTTTGTGACGTCGCATCTGCCAGTTTCGCTTGTCAGTTGAGTTCCAGTCAACGTTTCCTCTGTTTTCATCCATTGACAAGCGATGGCGTGGACGACACAGACCCAGTTGCCCTTCTACATCCTGATTTTGGGCGTTCACGCCGTTGTGGTGCATCCGCTGTATCACAGCAAGGTTATTGACCGCAACAGCAATGACCCCTTCCCGCACAGCTAGTGGGTAGAGGAGATCAATGACATCATTGCGGCCGCTGTGCAAAAGGTGCCTCGCAAGGCGTTGGCGGAGCAGTTGGCGGAGGGAAGCAGCAGCAGCAACAGCAAGAAGAAACGACCAAGTGTGAACCTCGCCGACTAAGACCACACATGTCGGACCCACGGGTGCAGCAACAAAGTGGGGTCGGGTCGGTGCAAGGCGTGCCACTGCTGTCACAAGGCGGTGTGCAAGACGCGCGGAAATGCCCACCTCTACCACGGCAACGAGGTGGTGCAGATGGTTTTGAACAAGATGAAAACGATGGGCATGATGACCGAGGGCAACTTTGTGTGCCTCAACTGCGTCAAGGTCAAGCTCATTCAGGTGCGTTCGTATGTATCTGTGTGTGCATTCGTGCCCTCTGTACGTACACGTGTGTGTGTGCGCGTGTGTCTGTGTGTCAGGAGTTGCAGACTATCAGTGCGTCCAACGCCACCAAGGACCTGTGCGAGAACAAGACGATGCAGCAGTTGATGCAGGAGTACTACAATGAGGACAACAACGGAGCTGCCCTCATGCAGGCGTTATTTAGTGTGTGGTAGTGTACAGGAGGGGGAGAGAGGATCGTGTGTCGGTCGCTCGGTCGGTCGGTCATTCGCTCTGTATGCGTGCTTGATCGCCTGCCTTTATCTACGGACGTATGTCTATACAAACGCCTGTTTGCGGGCGTGGTATTGCTTGCGTGTGTTGATAAATGGTAGGGAGGGATGCGTCGTATCGCTTGCGTGCGTGTGTTGATAAACGTGGGAAGGGACACGCCAGACACACACAGAGGGGGAGGGCATCTAAACGCACACACACAGGGAACGGGCACCCACACACCACTGACTTTTCGCGTCGCCGCTGTGCCATTTGCGTTGAATGAGGGAGGAGGGATGACTAAGCACTTGCTTTTCCATACGGACCGAGGAAAAAGACAAAGAATAAATGAAAAACGTTTGCTTTTCGGATGTGTCGAGAATTGCGACAAGAAGCGGTCAAGGTACACTTTGCTGTATATACAACAAAAGCTTGTATGACACATGCATTCATGTGCAGACATAAACATGCATGTATGTGACAGTCTTGCCTTCCTACTTCAGGCACTTCAAGCAACACGGGCTTTTGAGGTTGTCACATTGTTATGCACCAACTCAGCCCGCTGAGGCCACACGATGCTAGCGACGTCTGCGACAGCCTGCACGCTGTGCATGAAAGTAGCTGTGAATGCTTCTGCCTTTTGAAGTGACTGCAGCGACCCAGCCACCTCCAACATCGAGGCAGACTGCAGTGGAGTCTCTCAGCAGCAGTCAGCTTGCTCTCCGCAATCAACATGGTCATAGACCAGCCCGCATGCATGGAAGGGGAATCGTGCCCCCAAATATCTTGGGGCCAGAACTTCCACCCAACTCGAGGATGTCCAAGAATACTGTTTGTCCTCTCTCACCCGTGCGGGGTACTGTGAGACTTTGCCAATGAGATGGCGATGGACCCTGCGATGATGTGTCTGATGTGAGCAGCAACTCGGCCCAGCCCAGCCTTGGAAACAATGGACGAACGACAGAATGATAATGAGGACAAGGGGGCAGCTGATGGCGACCACATCATGATCAACGCACACGTGGGGGCGACCGTGGGATTCTTTCAAAAGGATGGCGATGAAGCATGCGGTGATGTGTCTGATGTGAGCAGCAACTCGGCCCAGCCCAGCCTTGGAAACAATTTGCTGAACGAACGACAGAATGACAATGAGGACAAGGGGGCAGCTGATGGCGACCACATCATGATCAACGCACACGTGGGGGGGACCGTGAGATTCTTTCAAGAGGATGGCGATGAAGCATGCAGTAATGTGTCTGATGTGAGCAGCAACTCGGCCCAGCCCAGCCTTGGAACCAATCTGCTGGACGACCAGCAGAATGACAATAAGGACAAGGGGGCAGCTGATGGCGACCACATCATGATCAGCGCACACGTGCGGGGGACTGTGAGACTCCTTCCACGGGATGGCGATGGACCATGCGGTAATGTGTCTGATGTGAACAGCAACTCGTCCCAGCCGAGGCTTGCAACCAATTTGATGGAAGACAAAGAGAATGACAATAAGGACAAGGGGACAGCTGATAGCGACCACATCAAGATCACAGCGTACAAGCATGAGGACGAAGGACGACGAGCGTCAATCAGCTCAATCACAGCCGCCGCAACGACAGGGCAGACGAGCTTTGCAGTCAACGACAGCAACAAGGCGGACGAAAAGCGAGAAGATACAGAAGAGGGCCGTGTGTTACGTCGCGAGAAGCGGGCGAGCGCTGCATTGATTCGTGAGTTCCGTGAGGCGGCTGGCTACAACGCTGCTTACGAGGAGTTTCCCACGACGCTCGAGTACAAGGCGTTGCAATCTGATGACAGCAAACGAGAGGTCCTGATGGGTGCATATTTCAGCCCTGAACCAGTTTTAGTGACTGTCAGGCGAGCCATGAAAGTCGTTGTGCTGCAGGTTGCGATGGCGCTCGCTCTTACGGCCGTTATCATAAGTTACGCCCCCGCCCTGTGGCACACGTGTCAATCAAGCGTATTTGGTCCCGCATTCGACATCATTCGTCGTACTGTGAGGGTTTTCCTGTTTGTGATGGTCCTCTTGCAAACTACTGATGGACATCATTTACAGAAGATCATCTCTCGGCTGAAGAAATCCTGGCTCATCCTTGCTGTCCCACTAGTGCTGAATATTGTGATCGCTGTCGCTTATTGGAGACACTGGAATTGTCAATGGAGAACACATCTTATCGGTCCTTTGCTGTGGTGCTGCTTACTCTTATGCCCATACTTGTATTTCCGTCATGCTGGTGGATCGCTGGGTATCAAGCGTAAACGGCTGTATGCGATCAAACTCGGCGCGGCATGCACGTTGGGTGTTCTTTTGGACGCGGTCTCATTTCAGCTGTTCTTTCCCCGTGCAGCCACTACATACACCGACGGGAGCAAAAGTCAGCTGGCGCTCGTATTCGTAGCGATCGGGTGGTCAATTTCCTCGCTGGTCAACAAACTTATCAGATCAATCCGAGTACATACAGCTATAGCCCAGCTAGAAAACAAAATGAGTATCATGATTAGATATGCATATGTGCGTATACTTGTTTGGTTGCATAGGAAGGGCCGCCAACATTCAATGTTCAGCCGACAGCTATCATGGCGATACCCAATGTAATAGCTCCTCGACTCCTCCAATCCAAGATGGCTACTTTTAGCACCAAACTCTTATACTCCATCTTGATCTCACTGTAGGTTGGCTATGGAGAAAAAAGATTCTAAGACAACTGCTAATGCCTTCTTTCTTTCTTACTTTTTCATGCTTTCAGGTTAGATAAACCCCTTCATTACCGACATCTTACTGCCATACTGTGCGTCAGTTAGATACAGACGACTGGATTCCTTGAGTGCTTGCATTCTACCTGTTCCCCTCTGCATGCAGGGATACTGTTCTATATTGCCGCTAGAAGATTTTTCAAGGGCGGCTGCTGCACTAAAATCAAGTCCGCGTCACAAGAGAGAAAGCGATCTTTGGTGAGTGACAATATGGCTTTTGGAGACAATGTTCAATCCATTCGGCTATCTGCAGATGAAGACAACGAGGCGGTAACACATCAACACAGCGGCGCGGTGAGCAGTAATCTCCAGCGGCAGAATACCACCATGACAGCCAGCCTTTCTTTTATCGGCACAAAACCAGCGTCTTCATCTTACACCGTCAACCTGCAGTCGGCTCTCGCACCTCTGGAAGTCTCCCCTCGGTACTTGAGAGCTTTGGCAGACCAGATTCACATCTGGTCATTTACTGAAATTATGGCCCTTCTATTTACACACCTGATGATGCTAATTACCAAGTACATGCACAATGGTGCTTCGTCTATCAGCGTTATGCAGGACATTGCAGGCCTACTTCTGTTGGTCAGCATGGAATGTGCCTTTGAGGTGATGCTTTTACTTGTGCTGGTCCGCCAGAACAATCTCCCGATGCTATCATCTGCTTACGAGAAGGGTGTGCTGCGCTGCAGCTTTTTGGTGCAAGCATGTATAGCAATCGCCTAGTAAGCGATGATTGATTACGATTTTGCTCTTGGTGTCTATCGATTACCCTGTCTGTCTGTCTGTCTGTTTGCAGCATATCGAATTCACACCCATACACTTGGGTGCTCATGCTTCGTACGACGGACCCTGACAAATGGGGCGATACTACTCCTTTAGATATCTGCCCCAACCATTCCAACGTATTTGTTTTCTAGGGAGATACCAGCATTGTGTACTCGCCGCGAAAAAGCATGTATCTATAGAAGTGCAAAGCTGGAATCTCTTAATGTCGGGGGGGTTTGTGTGGTGTGGGAAGGGCGTGCTGACTTTTTGAAGCGACAATAAGCCCTTGCTTTACATAGAGGAAGAGGGACAGGTGGAGGTCAGACAAAGTGTGTTTGCTTAATGGATGGACAAGCTTCAATTGAATACACAAGACGTACATATATATATAGAGTCTATACACTAAATCAAGGGTTAAACCCATATAGGGTTGAAACCCTTCAACCCCATCAGACCCATTCACAGGGTTTAGTGTAAGGAATCCCTTGCATATGTCTATTTGCGTCGTCGTCATTATTGTATTTGAGTTCATTCGCATCTCCGTCGGTCAGCTGGTGACCTTGAGCCGTGGCCACCGCAACGCATCCGCACTGCGAGGCGCACCCAGCGCCTTCCTGGTACACACATATATATACACATCCTCACGAATGGTCCGCTGTGCAGCCCTTGCTGGTGAATGACAGGGCTGTGAGTGGCCCTATCGTGCTGCATTGGTGCCGGCCGAGGTACATGTCAGACAGCCATCAGAGAACCCCTGCATGCTGCGTGCGTGCGTTGTGATCGTGTCCTTGTTAGCAATTATCCGAGCCGGCTATCGTCGTTTTTCGGCGGGGGTATCGGCACCTTTGTGGGCCGGATGTGGCAGAACCAGCTCAAGGCCATGCGGCGGGAGAGGATCAACGAGGAGAAGGAGAGTGAAGAGAGGCGCCGACAAGCCGACCAGAGGAGGCGGGACAGCTCCCGGCGGCAGATGCGGCGGCGGCGGAAGAGGAAGTGAGGAGCAGCGAGCTTTATCTCTCTCTGGCGTTTGGCCTCTCTGTACGCGAGTGTATCGGTTTCTGAGGCACGGTCGCGGCAGGGGTTGGGCTTCATACGGTCCTGCTCGCAGCTAAATAATGTGTGGCAGCTAAGCGTGTGTAGTCTACATGGTGAGTGACATGACCTTGTGTGTATGTGTATTCTTGTTGTCAATGGATGGATTGTATATTTCAGAATTGCTGGGTCTTTTTCTCTCCCTACCTCTGTCCCCCGCCGACTGCCTGCTTGCTTGGCTCTTGGCCATCTCGCTCTGCGTGCTTGCTTAACTACTCGGTCAAATGGGATATGTATACCTCCATTCACCCCCTGCCCCTCCTGTGACAATCTGATAAGCGATGGTTAACCCCAAAATCACCTCCATTCACCCCCCTGCTCATCCTGTCCATCAAAAAACCCTTAAACCCACGGAGAATGCACTTAGAACCCTTATAGCGAGCTTTTTGGCGAGCGATCAGGGTTTCAAGTCCCTTCAATGTATACACAACATGTCTGTCTGTGTCTTCCGACTGAGTTCATGCGATATAGTCGGGAGTCAGTCAGTACACATATGGCATCCCCACATGACGTCCCGAAGACTGCCCAGACATCGATTGAATCGAATTGCACTCACTGACTGCACGGACACATGCGGGACTCTCTCGTTTGCTTGTCAATCCATTCAGTGGTTCATTGGTTCAGTCGACTGCTGTCTGCTTCTCTCCCTCCCTCCCTCCCTGCCTGCCTGACATGCACCCAGAACAACGCGTCACACACACTGCCACGCACATGGATGGACGGACACACAGAGAGACACGCACCCCACACGAACCACATCGCCAGCCAGATCAGTCAGCGGAAAGAGTCGATGAATGCATTCCCCCCTGTGTGACAATTCCCTTGCTTGGTGCATCTGGATGGATTGAAAGGCCCCAGTGCACCAACCACTGCCAGCCAGCTGGCCAGGCTTGAAATACATGCATCACACACAGACACGAGACACGCCCACACAACGGTTGGCAGCCAACATAGAAATCTCATCCCATCACCCCCACAAGACCCTCCCTCCACCCACCACCAGTTAGATGACATGCAGCACCGTTCGCTCTCTCGTAGACGCCGACCAACATGCTCACACATACACACACACATACACACATACACACGAACACACGAACACACAAACACACAAAGACACAAACACACAAACAGGGAGAGAGAGAGCGAGAGAGAGAGGGTGGTCGTGGGAACCAGTGTGTGTGTGGGCGGCTGACGGGGTCAAGTGAGGAGGTGAGATTTTCTCGATGTTATTCCGGTCCGTAGTAAGCCCCCACAATGATATCCATCTCTTGGATCTTGTCTATCAGGTCTCTGTCGGGCTGCAGACACTCGACAAGGGTAACCCTACAGTCAGAAACGTGAAAACCCCGCCAGCGTCGGTGCTGTGTGTGGGGGGCTGCTGCTGACCTCTCCTTTGGCACCTGTCTAGCCCATGAGCTGATGCACTCGACCCATGTAATGGATGGACCGGGCCGCACCCACAGAGCCAAACACGGGCCTGCGGAGATGCACAAAAATGGGAGAGGGAGGAGTCAGAGAGAAGTTCCGCAGAGGCCAATTGGTCGGCGCATAGCAAAGCCGTCATCGAGAGCAATCCTCTGGCACCCGAATGAACCTCCGGGTCGTGGCGCAGCATGCCCATCTCGATCTGCACACACAGACGGACACGGACACAGAGAGAGATGCCAGCTTACTTGTCCTTCTGGCTGTTCCTGACTGTGTGTATGGCCTTCCTGTGAGCCTCTCTGCGGAGATCTGCCGGTTTGTGCGGTCTGTGCCTTTCCCCCAGCACTTTCAAGCTCGCAGGGCTTGGAGCCCCACACCCTAAACCCTATACCTAAACCCTAATTATGCGTAGGGTTTGCGAATCTCGTGAATGTGCGTGTGCAGGAGTGCGCAGCAGACAGGCAGGCAGCTTCCCACACACGGATGTGCGCAGAGGGGGGCTGTATGTGCAGAGAGGGGGCAGGGAGGCAGGGAGGGGGCGTGCAGTGCACTTGGCATGTGCCTCTGTGTGTGTGTGTGTGTGTTTGTGTTTCTGTCTGTCTGTGTCTTCCGACTGAGTTCATGCGATATAGTCGGGAGTCAGTCAGTAAACATATGGCATCCCCACATATGACGTCCCGAAGACTGCCCAGACATCGATTGAATCGAATTGCACTCACTGACTGCACGGACACATGCGGGACTCTCTCGTTTGCTTATCAATCCATTCAGTGGTTCATTGGTTCAGTCGACTGCTGTCTGCTTCTCTCCCTCCCTCCCTCCCTGCCTGCCTGACATGCACCCAGAACAACGCGTCACACACACTGCCACGCACATGGATGGACGGACACACAGAGAGACACGCACCCCACACGAACCACATCGCCAGCCAGATCAGTCAGCGGAAAGAGTCGATGAATGCATTCCCCCGTGTGTGACAATTCCCTTGCTTGGTGCATCTGGATGGATTGAAAGGCCCCAGTGCACCAACCACTGCCAGCCAGCTGGCCAGGCTTGAAATACATGCATCACACACAGACACGAGACACGCCCACACAACGGTTGGCAGCCAACATGGAAATCTCATCCCATCAGCCCCACAAGACCCTCCCTCCACCCACCACCAGTTAGATGACATGCAGCACCGTTCGCTCTCTCGTAGACGCCGACCAACATGCTCACACAGACAGACAGACACACAGACTGACGAATTCTCTCCCCTCCTCTCGTCTCTATCTATCTTGCCTGTCTTATAAATCTGAGAGCCCCACCCACATGATGGATGGACTCACTCACTCACTGCATAAACACACACACATACATAGTTCGTTTATGACATTGATCCACACGAGAGAGACATACAGACGTCTGTGTCGTGTGGTCCAAGGAGCTTCCTCACCCTCAACAACACAACACAATGAATGCGATGACTGACATACACGACGACCCAACGCATACCTGAATGACACGCACAGTGCGAGCTGGTGCGTAGGTCTGTCGACAGACAGACCACATAATGTGATAATGTGCACCTCTCTCGCTGCGCACCCACCCACCCATCCACTGGTTGGTGGAGTCGATCGACGGCTGTCGTCCTCTCCCTCCCTCACCCACCCCTGTCCTCCCCTGATAACCGCCTCGTGCTCACTGCCATCCACGTGGATGGATGGATGATAAACAAATCCCCCCTCACTCACTGTGATAAATATATCCCCTCCGCACAGAGCATCTGGATTGATGGCCCCCAGTGACACGCAACAGCATCTCACCCATCACACAACACACAGGTTCAGAACAGCCCAGCAGTTGGCTGATGCCAGATGCAGCACCGTGTTCGCCCCCTCGAAGCCGCTCAGCCACCCACACACATACATAGGCACATAAACGCACTGCTGACCAGTTCTCTCCTCACTTCTCCCCTCTTGCCCCACATGATGGACTTACCCCAACAGTACGATGCGCTGAAGGTGACCCAAGACATACCGATTGGAGGACGGCCGCACGGAAGAATAGACAGGCAGACACACGGAGGGTCGACCGGGGAGAGCAGCGAGCAAGCGAGACAGACAGACAGGTTTGCTCTCTTAGATACGATCTCAGGCAGTGAGTGAAAGGGCAATAAAATCTCACTCTCAACACCACCGGCGGCTCCGTCAATCCTCCGCTGTCACGTCACGTGTCTGGTGCTATCACATATGCGCAAAAGGGGCGTCAAACAGACACACACAAGCCAGCCAGCCCACACAAGCTCACGGCACCATCCCTTTGCGAAGAGCAGTGCTCACGCGTTGCCCATTCCCGAGAGAGCGGTGCAACACAACACGCACACCCACGCTAGCTACCAAACAAATCATCAGCGCTTCCTGGATGGATGGATGGATGGACCAAACAGCACACACCTCATGTGTGAGACGATATACATCGGACCGAAACACAACGACAGAAGGGGCGAGCCAGAGCAGCAAGCAACGAGCAAACGAGACAGACAGACAGGTTGGAGACACACGCAAGACACTCGGTGGATTGGATACAATCAAAGCAACACAAAACACTCAGTGTACTACCACACACACACAACCAACCACACACACAGAGACGTTGACGCCACTAGAAAAAGACACACAGAACACACAAGCCGGCCGGGCAGAGGACCACAAAACCGATACACATCAACCAACCACGCGGCCCGCCCCCCTCCGCCCATAGATTAGATCTAGATGCAGGCCAGCTTTGGGGGGCATTCCCTCTCATGCACACATCATATTCTGCTCAGGTCGCGGCCGAACATTCTGCTCTTCATCCAGTCGAAGAGCACCAGCACCCGGTTGCGCAGGCTCACCTGCTTGACGAAGTACACCGAGCGCCACAAGAAGAACCCGGCCTGGCCTGACGCCTTTATCAGGTCCAGATCGTTCGCCTTCACATACACAGACAGCCACAGAGAGAGTTGTGGGTGGGTGGGCTCTTTCTGGCTAGGCTGGCCCCGTCCGTGTGTGTCGTCACCCACCAACCTGTATGTGTGCGAGCCCCTTGTCGTTGCCCAGGTAGGCCAGCATCCCGTAGTTGAAGAACCTGCAAGACAACGCCACTACGTTTGCCCGGGGCAAACAAGGACAAGCGGCCCATGTCGTGTCGGCAGCATACAGTAAGTACCTGAAGGGGTCGGCCTCCTTCTTGCCCAGGGTGCGCAAGAGGTTGAAGGCCTTCCTGACGGCTCCGTTGTCGCCATTGTCGCCATTCTTGTCGTCGGGCTGCACTGGCGGCTGGTCGTCGGGCGTGCTCAAGTCGTAGCCTCTATTCAGCATGCGCGCCAGGTAGTCCCCCTGCTGAGAAGCCACCTGCAATTTACCGCAACGCAGAGGCGGTGGGGTTCTGTGAACGAGGGTGGGTCTTGACTCTCTCCCACCCACCCACGCATCCCCGAGGCACCGCACCTGTGCTGTTTGCGGGAGGATCGGGTCCATCTTGGTGCAGTCGCCCATTGCGAGGATGCTGCCGTTGGTGCCGTAGACGCGAAGCCACGGGTCGATCGTCAGCTTCCTGGCACGGGACGTCCTGAGTGGATGGATGACGGGAGGGAGGGAGGGAGGGAGGACATCAGAAGTCATCATATGCCGTGTGTGTGAGCTGATGGCTCACATTTCCGCCTGCACAGCCACTTTCTCGATCAGGCGCCTGGTGGAAGAGAGCCACAACAGTGCAGTCAGTGAGTATCTGTCCATCCATCATCCATCCATCAGGTGCACATGTGCCCTTCCGTTAGCTGAGCCCACTCGGTGATTTTCCTGGGCCCCGTGCCAGCCGTCCAGACGGCCAGACCATACGGCAGCTCCGTCCCATTCTGGATGGACGACGGTAGGCAGGCACGCAGGCAGGCAGGCAGGAATGGGAGGATGCATTGCTGGGTGTGGTGTGCTATGTATGATTCACATACGTGGAGCGTCATCGAGTAGGGCCCGACTGCCTTGACGCGCGTCTCCAGCGCCACCTCCACCCCGGCAGTCTGAACACACATAACACATCCGTCCGTCCATCTATCCATCCATTGGCACACGCATGTCATTCAGGCGTGTGTGTGGTCTTTCTTGTCGGGAGACTTACGGTAATGACGTTAAGGCCGACGGCCCGCAGGGACTCCTCGAAGACGGGCAGGATGGTCGGACCCGACTGAATCATCACCACACGCGCCAACGACTTGAGCCTGCATCACAAGATTTCAATGCACACACAGAACGGGAGGGTGTGTATCGTGTCAGGTACACACACGCATGCATGGGTGGAGGAGGAGAGCTGGCTGGGCTGACTTTGGGTAAAGTGTCTTGAACTCGGTTGACAGCAGGTCATACAACTCGCCACAAAACTCCACACCAGTGGGCTGAAGATGCAGACAGACAGACAGACAGACAGACAGCACAATGGTCTGACCGGCGTCGGTATGAAGCTTTGCTTGCATGAGTGCCTTTGTGCTCCACATACTCCGCCTCCACACACGACAAATGTCAGGATGCGCCGCTTCGCCTCTTCAGTCACCTCGGGGATGTTCGCACTAACCGACAGCCATCAGCAAAGATGGGAAATGTGCCTGCCCGTTTTGGTCCCCTTCCTTGTCTGCCCCACCGACCGCTCGAATCTGTCCTGCACGGCACTTCTGAGCCTGCGGGCGTCGTCGACCTCCTTGAGGAAATAGCAGTTCTCGTACACGCCCTTAACGCCGAACGATGACGACATGACGCCAGGGGAGAAGACCAGCGTGTCGTACGGGACGTTCAGGTCAATCTTGCTGCCTGGGAGATGCATAGATGCATGGTTCGTTCAAGTAGACAGACAGAGATGGTTCTGAGAGAGGGAGAGGGAGCTCGTGTGATGTGTGTGAGAGTGGGCAGCCAGCACACCGACCGTCGTTTGTCTGCATTCTGGTCCTCATGCGGACTGTCCTGTTCTCCGGGAAGATATCGGTGGCCTCACCTGACCAATCAGTGACCATACCACATGCCATGCAGCAGAGCACCACTCCTGTGCGCCAGCAATGCAATCGGTGTGCGCATGTCATGTCACCCACCCTCAAAGTAACTGGCGTATGGGTTTGCCTTTCTCATAGGCTCAGTGATGCTTCGATACTCGACCGTCCCGACACTCGCAGCGGCCAACAGCGGCGTGAAAAGGAAGTAGTTGCGAGGCGATATGATGACAACATCAAACCTGACACACATCCGGGATACACACACGCACACACACACGTGTGGTGGCCGGCCGGCCGGCAGGCAGGCAGCTGTGTCGTGTCCATGGTGGTTCGTTCTCACTTGTGAGTGTCGATTGACTTGATGAATGCGTGTGAGGACCATCCGGACCCGATGACCACTATTCGGTGCTTGCGCGGCCCCTGCTCGTCACCCAACTCATCCTCAGACCTGAACAAGGTTTAGGAAGCAAGATCTGTGTGTGAGTCGTCTGTCTGCATGGCTGATCTCTGACCTCAGCTGTCTGCTCCAAAAGAGCGATGCATCTTCAACCGTATCCAGCACTGCAACAAGCCACACACACACACACACACACACACAGAGAGAGAGAGAGAGAGAGAGAGGGCATCACTGCGCCAGCCACCAGCAGACGACAACCACCACTTACACGAGGTGCCCACTTCGTCCACCAGGGCCATCACGCTCTGCTGCATTCACAAGCATTCACAGCTAGCTGTGGTCAGGCACTGCACGACATCTGCCCACCTGCCTCCGTCTTCTGTTGTCCTCGGCTGTGTCCAGGCCCCTCCCCCGCTCATCAGGGACTCGTATGTTGGTCACTTCCGGCCGGGTCTTGATCTCCTGCATGTGCACTGGTGCCCTGCGCCTGCGCGAGAAGATGCCCTTCAAGCCCTTGTGGCAGCCCGAGCGCTGAGTGACGTGCTGGGTGATGAATGAGGGACTCTTGGAGACTGCATCTGAGCTACTGACGATGCAGGCGAGTGCTGCCAAGATCGATGCCGTCCGCGTCGTCCGCCACACCATGGCTGCTGCCGCTGTTGGCCTGTTGGGCAGCCTTGGCAAGCGTGTCCCACCAGGGGTGTCCCAAACTCAGCCGCGGCAGAACCGTCTGTAAACGCTCAAGCACAAGTCGTCGGGAATGACATGATCTGGATCTCCATCATGATCACTGCGAAGGCCTCCGATCGCGTTTCCATGCATGGATGGGGGGCAAGCTCGCGGGAGGTGTCTCAGATCTTGGGCACCATTGCAACGCTAACGGAAGAACCGCCAGCATTTCAACGCGGCACGTGCCGCGCCTATGCCCAGCAGTATGGCCACATCAATTGCAGTCGGCATCGCTGTGGTGGCCAATACGGACCTGTTGCGCATCAAAGTCTTTGTGTGTCTGTGCAGGGACTGCCGCGTGTGTACTCGAGCACGGGGGGTCATCCGCGGCGACCTGCCAACAGGTGAGAATACGACACACACATGCATCCATCCATCCATCCACCCACACAGACTGACAGACGGGCTGATAGATATATATGTGTGTGTGCCGTCAGCGTGAGCGTGAGCAGCGGCACAAGGAGAGCGTGGCCAGGCGGAAGCGCGAAAAAAGTGAGCAAGTGTTGCCAGCCGCAACACATCAGAGTCCACAATGACTGACACGTTCCTGTTGTGTCGGTCTTTATGTCTGTCTGTCTGATTGTCTGTGTCTGTGTGTGTCAGGTTGCTGTATCAGAGGACGCGGCGAGGCCAGCCTGTCACAGTGATGAAGGGACTGCTCACGGCCATGCTCAACAAAGTCAGCAAACACGACTGACTGAACGACTCTCATGAAGATCCATCACCTAAATCGTTGCTAGGCTGACTTGACCGACCATGGCATGCAGCACACATACGCATGGCTGCCGCATATATATGCGTGCGGGGGCCCGTTATATAAACCAGCTTTCGTGTGTGTGTGTCCAAAGATAGATAGATGCGGAAGAAGGGCAGAGGGAGACAGATGGAATGGCAGCTCTAGCTATCTGAGACATACAAAAGTCCCCACCACCACCACCGCGCGCAACCCGACTGACTGCCTGACTGCATTGCCAGACGAAACCACACGCGTGCATGAATCGATTCATGACTTGACAGACAGACAGACAGACAGACAGTGACACAGACATCGAGAGGAGACAGACTGCGAGATGAGAGCAGCATAGAACACCGACGACACATACCCACTCTGACTCGTCCCATCTATCACATGCATGTCTGCATGCATGCATCCGTTGTCCCGTTGCCATCCATGTCTGCACGCCGTCTCCCTTCTCATGCTCTGATGGTCTCTCTCTCCCTCCGCCACACGCGCTGCGACGCTCTCAACCTCTCCAACACACTGAGAGCTCAGCGGTCGGTGTGTGCGTGTAAGGGAGCCCATCATGGCAAGCACCAGACGGCAGCCCAGCGACCATTGTCTGAAAAGAGGCGAGAATGCACGCAGCTCTAGATCTCTGGGGATGATGGGGTGTGTAAGTGTCTGCCCGTGTTGTCCCGCGCCACCCGCCCGAACACACACCGCCAGCTAGGCAAGCGAAACGAGGTCAAACAGCTTGTGCACTCGCACCGCAAGTTTTCAACATGATCAACAAGACTCTCCTTACCGACAGACACATCAAACTTTCTTTTGGGCTCTCTTGTCTTTGTTTAGCCTCGGCTCGTCTGCCAGGCAAGACGACACGCAGTGAGCCTGCAATGGGGCACCCGCTGGCTCACGGCGTATCGACACAACCAGACAGTAGGCCAGGCTCTCAATCGCCGATCAGTCAGTCAGTCAGTCAGGAGAAGGGCATGAAATGCCACATGCATGCATGCAGGACAGACAGAACCGTTTGGTTGGTCCGTTGGCGGCGGCAATAATCATCCTTATAAAACCATACCATACACACGTGCTACGCCCTCACACACAGCAAGCACACACACACACACACACACATACACACAGAGAGAGAGAGAGATGCATCAAAAAATGTTGTGCATCCGTCGACCAAAAATGTCGTGGTGGCGAGAACGAAAATGGACCTGTCGGTCGATCGACCGACGCGTGCATATGCGATAGCATCACCAGTCAGTCAGGTCAGGTTCTCCGCCTGATGGGCTTCACTCTCAGGCCCCTCGGCTTGTAACTGACGACGCCACACGTGCGTCCCACACAGCCAGCCAGCATCCCTGTGTGTGTTGGTTGCTCTGTCTGTCTGTCTGTCTGTCTGTCGGTGGGCGTTGCTTACGTGATGGCGAAGTACGGCTCTGGCTCTGCGGTGACATCGAACTCATACCGACGGAGCAGCCCAGCAAGGGTCAGACGAATCTGTGGCAGTCACGCACAGACACACACACGCGCGCACCGCCCCAGGGGCATGCAGGACGATCGGCCAAAGCTTCGAGTGTGTTTGTGCGTGCGGCCTCACTGCACTGCCCCCACCCACCTCGATGGTGGCCAAGTTCTGCCCAATGCAGGCTCTCGGGCCGATGCCGAACGGCCGCAGCACATTGTTGTAGACCTTGAGCTGCTCCTCGCTGCTCTCCAGCCACCGCTCGGGACGAAAGGCCTTACCGTCACCCCAACTGTGAGTTCATCACCCACCCACCCACCACAAGGGGGGATACCACAAAACAGCACACACACACGCAACAACACGTTGCACGTGTGTGTGCGTCTCGTCTTGTCTTTGGGGTGTCGGTATGTGTGTGGGTGTGTATGTGTATCTGTGGTACATGCATACATACACACGTACATGTCGGCGGCGGTGAATGCCGGGAGGAAGGGGAAGGCGATGTCGTATCCGGCGGGGATGTAGTAGTCGACCCCCTTCGATGTCAACTTGACGCTTCGGTCGAGGGTGCGGAATTGACCGTTGGACGCCACCGTCGTGCTGGCAGGGGGGCAGGGAGAGAGAAGGGGACACGGACGCAAACACACACACACACACACGTGCATGTATATGTATATATATATATATATGTGAGTGTGTGTATATATATATATGTATACATATACATGCACGTGTGTGTGTGTGTGTGTGTGTTCGCATACATACACATACATTCTCATGAGCTCTTTGACGCAGGCATTGAAGTACTTGAGGTCTGACAGCTCCTCATACGTAGGGAATGGGCCCACGAAACTGGCGCCATCCAACTCCTGCACACACACACACATATACACAGAGAGAGAGAAAGGCGGAAGGGACGCCCATCTAGAGGCGCTTAAGATCTGTCGCTGCGTCTGTCCTCATGTGTGAGTGTCATGTGTCGTGTGTCGGACCTCTTGGAGCTTCTTGAGCACACGGGGATTGCTGCCGAGGTGATAGATGCCCCACGCCAAAGTATAACCAGTAGTGTCATGCCTGTCAGACACAACACGGCCACTCTGTATGGCGACCGGTACTTAGTTCGTGCGGGCCGTCGCCTCGCCGTCCGACATCTTACTTACCCGGCGTTGATCAGAGTGTAGATGTCGGAGAGGCGAGCAAACTCGGTCTCATAGGGAGCGTTGTGGATGTAGGACATGATCGACGTCGGCTGCCACCAGGCTTTTTCGTTCATTCATTCAAGCGTGTGTTGGCGCCGTGTTGTGTTGTGTTGTGTGTGTATCTCCCTCTCTTTTTTGCGTACGTCTCTTTGTTCGGCGGGCGTGTTGAGGTAATGTTGGTAGATGCGCTGGACGATCTCGCGGTAGGTCTGCTGTGCGTCGTTGAACTTGCGCATTCCATCGTTCCACGGCATGTAGGGCCTGCACGCTCAGACCACAAACACACACACACGATATCCGAGCGACGAGGGAGCGTGTGTGTGTGCGCGTGTCAATCAACGCATGTGCGACTGCCAAGCATAGCATACCTGAAAGGGTTCAGGACCTGTTGGGCGAACTCCTTGAATATGGTGTCGACGCTCTCGAGAATGGCCAGCGCCTCGCCATTGCGCTCCTCGTCGAAGGCGTGGAACGGATACCTTCCGGCAAGAATATGTCAAAACAACGATCACAAAAAACACGTTCAATACTAGATGCACATGGCTAAGACACGCACGCACGCACGCACACAAACAAACGCACCCAAGTGCGATTTCGCCTATGACGTCGATCGTAACCGGACGGCCCACTGGTCCATGGGCACCGACACGCCCTTCTCGGCCGCACTGTCCAGCGCGTCGCAGAAGCCGCCCAGCACACGATGGTACGCGGGGACCTTGCTGGCAAGCACCTTGGTGCTGCGCACACACACACACATACCACACACGCACACGCGACACATACATAGCCAGATGAAGACAAAAAAATGCATGTGTGTGTTGACGTAGGGGTGTGTGTGTGGGTGTGGGTGGGTGGGTGGGTGTTAGTGATCACTCACGCGAATGCGGGGGCTAGTGCCTTACGAATGGGGTGCCAGCCCTCGCCTGTGGTCTTGCGCGAGAAGATGGAGACGTCCCTCGGTGTGAACGGGCCACGGCGGCGGAGGTCGAAGCTCTTGAAGAGCGAGGTCTTCTCGAGACCATCTGATGCACCACAGTAACACACACACACACACACACACACAGATGCATGAGTGCATCCAGTGTGCAAATGTGATTTGGGGAGGACATCACACACACACACACACACCTGCCCCGAGCAGCTCTGGGAAGCAGCTCCAGTCCGTGCAGACGTAGACACGCTTGCCCAGCGGCAGCTGATAACAAAACACCTCGCTCTTCAACTCATCGCGCCACTGCTCGTATCTGACCACACACATATCACACGCAAACACACAATTGAGCCAGGCCGCTGTGTGTTGTCTCTCAATCGAGCGGGCCGGCTCACAGGTGCGGCACTTTGGGGTCTGCGAAAAGTGCGAGAGACTCGGTGACGGACATCGGCACACGGGGCGGGTCGCGCAGCGCCTTCCTCTCCTCGGCGGTGATCTCATGCACGGGTCTGGTCCCCTGCTTAGCGGCGGTGGCGGCATCTTTGGTTGTGTTGCTGTTTGTGGCGGCCTGGGCCCTCTTGCGGTGCAGCCGTATGAGCTCCTCGAGGCCGACGAGGCACACCACGGCCGCCGAGATGCCGGCAAGTGGCAGCAGAGAGGAGGAGGGAGAGGGGTCAGGCGGCTGTGGCTGGCATGACGATTGATTGAACACTCTCCGTCGGCTGGAATGACCAGATCTGCCAACTGAAAGGCCAATAAGAGGGGCTGACAGATCTTCCGCGGACAGATCTTTCGCAGCTTGGCTGTCAAACAGCTCGCAATCCGGGGGTCACGAAGGTCCGATCGCCAAACCCTAGTGGGGCCAGGCCCCACCTCTTTCTCTGGCACGTCCATCTGGTGCATCGCAGCCCACCCAAGCACAGTCTTAGGTCTACTCTGTTGGTATTCGTTGCCAGTTGTTGAATCAGATGGAAGCGGCGGGGGTGGCGGGATCTGAGTCTGCCCCGCCCGGAGTGTTGAACAGGTCCGAGGGCGTGAATGCACCACCACGGAGGGGCTCGGCATCGGCGAGAGGCTCGGTGGTTTCGATATCGATCAAGAGCCCTGAAGAGGAGGGCGGCGACGACGAGAGGGGACAGCTGGAGAAGGGTCGGTTGTCCCATCACACAAACGATTCAAATTCACATGTGTGTGCTTGTGTGTGCGCCAGGGCCCTCACAGACCACCGCATTCAGTCGCACGTCGGTGGGAGCGGCCAATCTGCATTGGTACTGACAGATCATATACACACACATCTCACATACCACCAGAAACACACACACATACGGTGGATGGTCGGTCCATGCAGGAACGACATCGATTGTCGGCCGTCGTGGAGGTCCATGCCGTGTTTGAAGGTGCACTTCCAGGACGCCTTGCTCGAGAGACAATTCACTAAAAAGAGTGCTTCCAAGACATGAATCGCTTCCTGTGGAGGTACCGCACAGGAGTCACAGAAATGCGCACTCATTGCCTGCGATTCTCTCTCTCTCTCTCTCTCTGTGTGTGTGTGTGTGTGTGTGTGGTGGGGCGCCCCGCGCCAGCCCCCTGATTGTGTTTGGCATCGGTCTCATATCACACAGCAGGCAAAATCTCGGGAGCCTCGAGGGAGGGATTCTTCGACCCTTCACGGATGATCGGCAACACGTACGCCTTCATCGACACGACCCCAGATATATAAATAATCACAGACACACACACACACGAATGAGTGAGTGGGTGGATGGCTGCGTGCAGGACGATTGTGGCGGTCCTTGGTGGCTATAGGCTGATCCGAAAGGTCTTTCCCATCAGATCTGCATCGGCCCGGGGCCACGACCTCGCCATCATGACGGCCATCCTCAGCTTGCTGGGGCTAGTCAACGCCTTCCATGGACGATACTCGCTTCGCGAAGGGGAGCTACTGGACCCCTTCCACTTGTGTGAGAAGCTCGGCAACTGTGGTCAAGATTTTTCCTGGATGCTAGGGTGCGGCCACTTCTCCTGAGCAGAAATGAGAAGAGAGGCGGTGTCGCCCACAATTGGTCGTACAGCTGCTGCACTGAATGGCTGAATGGCAGTGTGTCTGTCTGTGTGCTGTGTGTCTGTGTGTGTGCATATCTTAAGTGTGGTAGCCTTTTGGACGGTTGTGAAGGGCAACAGCTTCAACGCTGGCTGTGTGACGGTGTCCTTCTACATCAGCCTTATCGTCGCCGACCTCATCACGCCACACCAGCACGGCTTCTGGCACAGAGTCACCACTGCTGCGAGTAAGCACACACAACACAGGAGGCGCACAAAAGCTCGCCTCCGCTATGTGTGTATGTGTGACGGCGTGGGTGCGGTGCAGTGATGACGATGCTGCTGATATGGGCCAGCATAACGCTTGTCGGGGGGTTTCATTCACTTATTCACTCACGCCCAGTCAATAGATATTTCTTGCATGTGTGTGTGTCACCGCGTCAATAGGAGCGCAAGTCCAGGGAAGTCATCTGTGACAAGAGCCGCTTGCAGAAAATGACAGAGGAACGAGACAAGTAACTTATGTCATCACGGAGACACGGCCACGGGGGGGATGGGCTGTGCACTCACTCGTCAATCGGTCAGGCTGATGAAGGCGCAGCACGCCACCTTCGCCAAGATAACGCACGTGAGTGAGTTGACGCACAGACTGCTCTGCACTGCACTGCATTGTGTGCGCACATTGGGGTGTGGTGTGGTGTGGTGTGGTGGGTGCGTGTGCTATGAGCAGGACCTGCGGACACCTTTGAACGGTTCGTCAATGTCAGGCCGACAAAGGTAACTGTTCTGGTGGCCTTCTTGGTGGTCTCAGGCATCATCAACTCTGCGGACTTCCTGCGACACGACCTGGAAGAAGAAATCAAGCTAAAATCGGAACACCCAAGTATAGCACGCCATACCAGCTGCCTCACTCACTCACTCACTCACTCACCGTACACACCAATCCAATCTCCCTCTCTCTGTTTCTTTCTCTCGTTTGTTTTGTGGTGTGTGGATGACTGCCTGGCCTGGATGATGCAGTATTCGCCTACGTGGACATCATGTCGAGTGCCGGCGAGTACATGCTGCTCCTCACCAACAACCTCCTCGAGATCTCGAGGCTGACGGCCAAGCAGCAGCGGCACAACAGCGGCCTCAGGGAAAACACAGACCGGTTGGCGCTGCCCCCGTCTGCATCCTTCCAGGAGCGGTGCTGCGGACTCTGCCGCACTAGGAAGGCCGCCACTGGTGCGCCCGACCGCCGTCTCTCGGATGACGGCTCGTTGCGCGGAGTCAAGGGCCACCACGTGGCGGCCTTGACCGACATATTCGACCTTCACAATGACTGGTTGGATCTCCGCGCGGCGTTGCGCAAGGTCGGCGGGCGGGCGGGCGGGCGGATGCACACACTGAGACACACACATACATACACAAGGATGCACGAGGATGGTGTATTTCTTGTTGTGCCCTTGTGCGTCAAGGTCTTCCACCTGCACATACGTAGGTGGCGTGAGCAGAGAGAAAGCACATGCATGCATGTCAGGAAATAGCGCCCACCGGAGGGTCTGATGAGTGTGTGTGTTGTGGGTGGATGGATGGATGGGTGCAGCAACGACGCGGCTGAAGAAGATATCCTACCAGCTGCCGTCTCTGTCGCACCTGCCGCTGCTCATCTACGCAGACGGGGTGCGCATCCAGCAGGCGGCAAATAACCTCTTGTCCAACGCAGTCAAAATGACAGATAAAGGTCCGTGGCGAATCCAGGAGACAAAGGGAATGGATGGATGGATGTGTGCTTGTGTGTTTGTGTGTCTGTGTGTGTGGATGGTTGGATGACAGGTTCAGTGTGTGTGTCGGTCAGTGCCACAGCTGTCCCTGATCCCACGGTGGGTCGGTGAGACCGGCCAGCCAGCTTAGAGCCCATCCTGTATGTATGTATGTATGTGTGTATGTATGTATGCAGGAGGCCCAGCCGCCCCCGTTCGAGTACTGTAAGGACCCCACGTACGACATGGACTCCCTCAAAGTCTACGACATCGAAATACGAATCACCGACTCGGTATACATGTATACACACTACCTAGCCATCCGTCCATTGCGTCTATCCACAGACAAGCACACAACACAGGGAGGGACACCAGAAATGGATCGATGAGGCAGAGACCTGCTGTGCTGTGCTGTCTCCTCCCCGGTGTGTGGTTTTGGTGGAATACGTGCAGGGTCGCGGAATACCGAAGGTATTTAGAAGGCACCTATGTCGTGACATATATGCGGGGGCACCTCTGTGCACGTCATCCATCCCCATACATACATGTGTGTATGTGTAGGAGAAGCTCTCGTCGCTGTTCAAGGAGTTCCGGCAGGTGAACGCCAAGGACGCCCTCATCGGGACTGGGCTGGGCCTCTCGAGTACGCTACACTACACAGGCAGATTGACACGTACATGGATAGATGGATGTGTGTGTGTGTGTGTGTGCTGTTGGTCCGTCAGTAGCCAAGATGGTCTGTCAAGCAATGGGGGGCGACTGCTGGCTAGAGGTGAGCCCCTACACACCCACACCCACACCCACAGTGCGATTGTGAGTGGGTGGACATGGCGCAATCGATTGGTGATGCATGCAGTCGGAGGGAGTCAACAAAGGCACGACGGCCATCCTGTCATTCAAGTGCTACGGCGTCTTCGAGGCCTCGTCAACCGCTGCGGCTAACAAGAATCGGGAGAGGTTCTCGCCCTACACGCAGAGGCGCAACCTCAAACACGACGCAAACCTGATCGACAAACTCATGGCCGACATACACAGGCTCAATATACATCTCATTCTCGCGGTCAGTCTCCCTCGCGCCAGCGGATTGTCCCTCCCGCTGTGCCCTTCTGTGTGTGTGTGTGTGTGTGTGTGGTGATAGGATGATGACTTCATCAATCGGCAGTGCGTGGCGTCGATTCTCAAAAAGATGGGGGTCGCGGAGACGTCCATGACGTGGGCACTGAACGGCGTGGAACTTGTCGACGCCGTCAAGGAGAGACTCCGCACCCACAACACGTACAAAGCTCTAGCTGGTCCACAAAGGGACACACACACACACACACACACACAGGGATAGACAGAGAGAGAGAGACAACCATCGATGAATGTCTGAAGGTGCTGCATTTGTGTGTGTCTTTTGTCAGCCCCGTGTTTGTGTTGACGGATCTCGAGATGCCCGAGCCGGATGGCGTGGCGTCCGCACGGTGCATCCGGGAGCACCTGGAGGAGAGGCAGCGGACAGTCGAGGGCCGGACACCCCCCTTCTTCATGTCTCTCTGCACCGCACAGAGCAAAGAGGTCCGTTGGCCACAGAGAGAGAGGGGGACGTGCAGTCTAGTCACTCAGTCAAGGTGGTGTGTCTCTGTATGTGCAGAATGTGATAGCGAATCACCCGGAAGCGCCCGGCTTGTTTGACACCGCATTTGTGGAGAAGCCGGTGTCGAGATGGGTGGGCGCGGAAAGTTCGCTGATGGTCTTCCTTTCTTCGTTCGTTGCTTGGCCGGTTGGTTGGCTGCTGTTGCGTGCAGGTGCTGAAGGAGCTGATGGAGCGGTTCGTGTCGCAGATCGACTTCATGGCCACCATGGTGGACCACCCCACTTAGCGATCGATGTGTGGCTGATGTGTCGTGTTGGGTTGTGCTGTGTGCATGCGGAAGTGAGACGGTAAGGCTTGGCGTTGGTTTGTGACATACACACATACATATCTCATCCAGCTGTTCGACGGTCCTCCAGCTGGCATTATGTCGCAATCCCATCCAACGATGGGCACACCACACAGGTGAACAGACAGGCACTCCCTTCATTCAGCCCGCCGCGTGCAGTGCAGTGGCCAACAAGCTACACACACACACACACATGCACACAAGTCCACACGCAGGCAGTGTGTGTGCGTGTTGGGTGATGGTTGGTCGCTTGAATGGGTAAATATAGTCCGACAGCTCTTTCAAATCATCGGTTTGTCCGCCGATCCATCCATCCATCGACCATCAGTCCACACTATGCCATCTCACGTGTGCAGACATTTATCCCTTTTCCACCGGCCAGCCGTGTATCAACACCCTCAACCCCCCCACACACACCCGTCTCGTTCTAATTAGGTAGCTACTTCGGCACACCGGCCATCCCCCTGTCAGTCAGTCTGTGTGTGCATGTGTGTGAGGTGTGTCCGTGATATGCCGGTCAGCCAGAACACACAGAGAGAGTGTCATCGGGGCGAGGCAGGCGTCACACGTACACCATAGCGGATGGATGGGTGTATCAGGCAGACACGGATCTTATCTACGTCCACCGGTGGGGAGAGAAGCCTGGCCCTTACTTATCTCTCTCTCTCTCTCTGTGTGTGTGTGTCTGTGTGGGTGTGTGGGTGCCTCCCTGCTGCTCTGTACAAGTGTGCGCTTTGTCGTCCAGAAAAGCAAAGGGGCCAAAACAGTCGCACAGGTGAGAAAAGGACACACAGAAACAGACGCTGTGTGCGTGTGTGTGGTAGAAATGGAAAAGTAAGGCGAAAAACGATGAGGTCATGGCTTAATCATCCGATCATCAATACAATACAATACAGCCCCCCTCCCCTTTCCTCCCATGAATGGAATGGATTGCACTGCTTGGAAATCCCCCTAGCTGCTTGCCCACGCTATCTTAAAATTCATCACTGCCGCGTGAGAGGATACCTCTCGATGCACTTCCAGCCCTGAATGTCAGCGCCCGTCTCATAGAGAGCTATCGCGGCAACGCCGAACTTACTTCCCCGCACCTCCTCACTGAGGCTGGCGCTCAGCTTGGCCTTTTTGTCGTTCGAGAGGTTGCCATAGACGAGCGACACATGGGGCATGAACCCACTATTCGGCCCTCGGAACTCCTGGCCCTCGTCAACGTACAAGAGCTGCATCAAGCCATCCATCATTGGACGGAAATATATAGTTAACAAACAGGCAGATGCGCCTCACGTAGTACGTACCTTCTTGGCGTTGTCGTGCAAGTCGTCGAGCTCTGGGGTCTTGTTGATTAGAGCATAGACGCACTGCCAGAACACGTCACCGTAATCGACATCGGTGACGGTGAGCGTCAGGGGCCCCGATATTGAGGCCGCCAGCTGAGTGCACTTGTCCTGCATGGCCTCCAACGAAAGATGCGTGATGTGGCCGATCTGAATGAATGACACACAGGGAGGAGAGGAAGTAATCGATCACTGAAGGCAGTCACATAGATGTACACACGCATGACCGACCAGTGTGACGTGTGGTAGGAACGCAGGTGTGCCCAATTCGCTTGCGTGCCGGTTAATGATATCACCAAAAGGCTTCTGGGGCGCCTACAATCAACCCATCAACACATGTATGTGGCGGTTGGTATAATTAATCAATCTGATTCAGTGCATGCAATGCAATGCCATCGCACTGCACCGCATATATAGTATAGACAATGAATGCTCGCTCGCCTTACCTCAAGAAAGAGGCTGAACACCTTCTTCTCGGCTGCGGGCGGAAATAAAGATAACAAATGAGCTACAGCCAGCCTGACACTGTGTGTGAAGTCTCTGTACGGGATTGCGTCTTCATCCTTGATAGCACGGTCTTGGTTGTCTTGTCGATGATGGCCATGCCCTCGGCCCTCAGCGCCTTGGCAGCGAGTCGTAAGGTGTTGGCCGTGGCGTCGAGCTTCTTGGCCGACTGGAGGATGGCCTTGCCGGTCTGAATCTGCTGCTGCAGCATCGACAACTCAACGCCTGCACACACAAACACACACACACACACGGCTGCATCAGATAGATCTGTTTCCATGTGGGGATGCATAGCCGCACGGCGCTTATTCTCGAGGGAGTGGGTCTCCTGAGTGCGGCCGACAAATGACGAAGCTGCAGCCAGCAACAGGTAGGACAGCCACATCACATACTTATATGGGCAGATCTGCCACCGGGTTCGGTGCGGGTGTGTCCCCTGGGGCTTACGTCGGTCATAGTTGCGCTGAGCCGCCAGCAGCGGCTGCACAATGGCCGCCAGGCCGACCACCACGACGATACCGAAGCCGAAACGCATCATGGCGGCTCGACTAAAAGCTCCACAGACGGACGGACGGACGGACGGAATGAATGAACCAACGAAGATGCGTGACAGTTTAAGGGCCGCGTGGCCTGTGTAAACGCCCCCCTTCCCGATGCGTTGTGGCGCGCGGGAGTGTGCAAGACAGGTGCTGAGCCCGGGGCGGAGGCTCCCGCTCAAGAAACAGAGGCCCCCGCCGGTCGGTTGATGCAGAGGCCAGTGGCGCGATGCGTATAAGGACCTGCTGAAGGCTAGAGTGAGAGGGCCGGCCAGACGAGGAGCGATCGAGGCGCAAGCTTGGGTCGGTGAAGGTCAGGTGAAGGTGCATGTTGGAGCTGTCTGTGCAGTACTGTATGTTGGCATTATGCCGTGATCGCGTCCATTGATGTGCACACCGCACACAGACACAGACACAGACACAGACAGGCCGGCAGCCAGTCCATTTGTGAGCCGCTCCCTTACAGTCCAGCTGGCCAGCAAGCTATCCACACACTCATGCACACACATATACACATACACACCCACCCATGTGATTGATGTGCACACAACACAGAACACACAAACGAAGTCAGCAAGGAATTGTATTCCATCCATCCATCCATCAGCAGGTCGGCTGGCTGGCTCGTTAGTCGGTCCTGAGCTTGGTGCCGCTGTCACTCTGCAGCGCCTTGCTGTGCGCGGCTTGTCCCTGCTGAGCCAGCATCGGACACAGCTTCTTGTGGCGAGACCAATCCAACACCTGCACACAACCACACACACAGCCACCCACATGGACACGTGTACACGTGCGTAGGTAAGTGTGCGTGTGTGTTCGGGTGAGGGGAGACAGGCACACCTGGCATTCGCGAGAGCAGTAGAACTCCCTGCGGCACTTGGAGCAACGCTTCTCGGCCTGCACACACACACACACACGAAGGGATCGATGCACACACACGTGTTTGTGTGTGTGTGTGTGGGTACCTACCGGTTTGCCGCACTGCGGGCATGTTGGGTTGGTCTCCTCTATCGTGTCCATGTTGTCACACAACACACGCATCAAACTGAAAGTCAAGACAAGACGAGTCAACAAAGACACAGCACAGGCAGAGAAACTCGTCGCTAATGGGCTCTCTCTGTCTGTATGTCTGTCTGTGTGTCTGTGTGTCTCTGCTCGTATGGTGGGTGGGGAGTGTGTGTGACCTTCTGGTCTCCTCGGAAGTGTCTCTCTTCAGGAACACGTCGGCAAGCTGCCTGAAGCCACGGAGTGTCTGTGTTCTGTCTGTGTGTGGGCGTGGTGTGCGTATCGGACAGATAGGTGGGATGCGCACCCACCTCTTTGCAATTTCCTCCCACCGCCCTCTGTACTTGGCCAGCAACCCCTCACGAATGGCAGCCACCTACACACACACTCACACAATTGCTGTCCATATCCACTCGTGTCTTGCATGTCATGTGTGTGATAGGCTGCCTCCCTCCCTGGGTACCAGTTCGACAATGAATGGTGATGTGGACGGCGCGGCGGGGAGGTTCCCCTGGATAGACATCTCCTGCACGACACCGACACCAACCAACACACACACACACATGTACACACATTGGATCGGATCGGATCGGATCGCGTCCCTTCCTCCTTCTCTCCCTCTCACTCACTGACTCAGTCACGCACCTCGAGAACTCTTCTGAGGTCGAGGAGTGGGGGGATCTGGTCGCACACCACCTCGCCCAGGTGCCGACGCATCTGCATCCATCCGTACACACATACATACATACACACATATCATGTGTACGTGGGTGGTGTGAGTGAATGTGTGGATGCATCCATCTGAGTATCTCTCTATGTGGTTGGTTACCTTGAGCAAGTTCTGCTTGCGGAAGTTTGTTATCTCATAGCTGGACAGACACAGACAGACAAAGGAAGCTTGAAGGATGGATGGACACATTCCGCCGCTCCCTCCCTCCCTCCCTCCCTCATTTACTTGGCCATGCAGTCACGGTCCATCACAAGATTGTAGATCGACAGCAACACCTACACGCGAAGCACGAAACACCATCCATCCATCCATCCATGAGACGATCCATCCATATGGATGCATGGATCGTGTGTCTGCTTTACCTGTCCCTGCACTCTGGGCATCGTCGAGTCGCCATCAGCCACTGGCTGCCACACACTACACAGAGAGGTGCACACACACACGAGGAACCCACACAGCACATGAACAGGCGGATGGATGAATAGCGTGCCCAGCACCGTAGTGCGGTGCACCGCACCTGTTTTCGTATTTCTCGACCCGGCCTCTGCTGTTTTCTCTCAGCCACGGCTGGGCGTCCATCAGCGGCACCAAGGACAGCAGCCAATCTACACATCAATCAGAGACACAGGGACACAAAGACACAAAGACAGACACAGAAATAGAAAGTGGTCGCATCAGGTCGGCGCGAATGAATGGGTCCCTCCCTCCCTCCCTCCCATCTCAACTCATCTCATCTCTGTCAGCTCACTCACCTTGTTGCTCGACGATTCTCTTGACGACCGGTTTGGGGAGCTCCTGGCTGTACTCTGTGACCGAGTGTGTGAGCGCTATCGCACCCATGCACACCTGGAAGGCGCTGTCGGCCTCCTGCCGACACAACACCTGCAGGCAGGGATATGCATCCACACATCCAGACAGACAGGCAGACAGACCAATCTCTCATCTCTGCGGGCCGACCTCTCTGTTCGTCGTGTCGCCATTGCCGCTGCTGGTGGTGCTGGCGGTTCTGGAGGTGCTGGTGCGAGTAGTGTTGTGTGTGAGTGCGACGGCTGCCTGCAGCCGGCGGTGCATGTAGTCGACGAGGTCGACGAGGGCGTCTGTGGCGGCCAGTGCGGTGACGGTCTTCTTGTGGAATACCATGCACTCCAGCAGGTTGACCAGAATGGACTCGTGCAGCAGCTGAAAAGAGGGGGAGGGAGGGAGGGACCTATGTGCCATTTGTGCCGTGCTGCGTACGGGGATGTAGTTTTTGATGGCTGGGAGGTCGACGAAGGAGTCTTGTTTGAGCAGGTGGGGCAGCACGCACTCACGCCAACACTCAATCACCACCAACTCATGAACCAACACCTCCAACTACACACACAACACACATCTATAGTCCGCCCCCCCTCCCTCCCTCCCTCCCTCTCTCTGCCTCTCTGCCCATGCGTGTCCAACCTTTTCGTGCGTGATGATAAGATCCACCACGTACTCGTCATTGGCGTGCTGGGCCTGCAAGTGCGCCAAAGTGTTCAGCCGCTGCACAGTCGTGTGCTGACCCAACCACCTGCACACGCACACAAATACACAAACAGACAAATCAGCACATTCATGACGCACACACACACCCTGCCGGTGGATGCATTTCGCTTCCACAACTCACTCACCTTGGCGTGCCGACATCCTCTATGCTGAAGGTCTTGAGGCCCTGGACGAGGTGCTCGGCCTCGAAAGGCGTCAGGTCGCTGCCGCCAGACACCGACGACGTCAACAGTGACTGCATCCTGTGTAGGGTGGGTCAAGTGTGTCATGCAGCTCAGACAGAGAGGAGACGGGCACGTCCGTCAGGAAGAGAGAGAGACGGTCTTCATCTCATCTGAAATGGACACAGACGCAAACGAAGCGCAAACGAGTCAGTCAGGAGGGCCTGGCTGCTGGGGGCTCTGCTTGCGTGCCTACATGCTTTGAGGAGATCTTGTCACCAAAGAAGGCTAAGCTCGCAGAGCGATCTCTCCGTGAAACGCTCCCCCCAAAAAGGAGACGCGCCAGCCACAGGTTGACCACGGTCCGCGCCGACACTGCTGCTGCTGGTCTGCAGACTCGACGCATCTGCCAGATCTCCACCCATCCACCTCGGGCCATTGTCTATCTGTCGACATCTGTCAAGGCAGCCAGGCAACAGTGCCGCCCAGCCATCCATCCATCCTTCTGCGTACAGCTATCGATCAGTGAGTGAGTGAGTGAGTCAGCGAGTGAGTCACGAAGGATGGCGATAGCAGAGGAGATGCACATCGACCGCATCCTCATTCTGGACTTCGGCAGCCAGTACAGCCACCTCATCGTCAGGAGGTGCCGCGAGATCGGCGTCTATGCCGAACTCATGAGATGCGACACTAACATCGACGACATACGCAACTTTAGCGCCAAAGGTGGGAGGGACATGGGAGGAGGGTCGGTTCGATGATCACGGCAAATGTGTGTCTGTGTGTCAGGTATCATTTTGTCTGGCGGGCCATACTCTGTGTATGAGGAGGAGGCGCCCCACTGCGTGCCGGCCTTCTGGCAGTACGTCGACCAGACACACATGCCGCTCCTCGGCATCTGCTATGGACTGCAGGTCAGTCGGTACCCCTAGGGGATCTTTCCATCCGTCCAGACGGACAGACAGCACGCCCTCACGCACTCCTAGGTGCACTCTCTGTGCGTGTGTGTGTTGTGTGTGTTGTGCAGGAGATGACGTATGCGTTGAAGGGCAAGGTGTCTGCGTCGGCCAAGCGCGAGTACGGCCATGCGGAGCTCATGATGAAGGAACTCAACGCCGAAGAGAGAAAGGTATGGTGGGCCAGCCACTCAGCACTGCGTCATTTCATTCATGCGTCGGTTCCATGGATCTCTCCCTCTGTCAGCTCGACAATCAGGCCAACCACTCCCCTGCAGTCAACGGCGTCCCGACTGCCCCGAGGGACAGCGAGCCAGACCCTAACCAGGTGCCACACACACGGAACCAGCCACCACACAATACTCGTTGCTTCTGGATGGATGGATGGATGGATGACGATTCATTCTGTCTGTCTGTCTGTCTGCCTGGTTGGTTGTGTGTGTGGTCGGATCACCCATCAGGTGCATGACAACCCGACGGCGGTGTCGCCCAACGTGCACCGGCTGTTCCAGGGGCTGGTGCACAACCCCACTCGCGTCTGGATGTCGCACGGAGACAAAGTCACACAACTTGCACCAGGTGAGGTGGGGTGGGTGGGGGGACACACACACACAGACATACGCACCACAACACATACGCACGCACACAAATGTGCACGTGACTGACAAGCACCAATGTGACGATCGGCAATTTGTGTTGTGTGTGGTGTTGTGTAGGTTTCCAGGCGATAGCAGTGACGCCCAGCAGTGAGTATGCCTGCGTGGCGCACCTCGAGAAACAAATGTTCGGACTGCAGTTCCACCCAGAGGTCAGTCAGTGCTGACACACAGATAGACACACAGACAGACAGACAGACCCACCGTATCTGTGTGTGTGTGCAGGTGACGCACACAGACGAGGGCACCCAGCTGATTCGCAACTTCATCCTCAAGATCTGCGGTGCGGTGCCGTCGTGGAATATGAAGAACTTCGCACACACGGAAATGGAGCGACTCAGACGACAGGCAAGACACCACGCCACATCACACGCCATGCATAGAACCACACACAGCCACGCACAGAGAGGCGGGGAGAGAGAGATAGGGTATTGTCTGCCTTTGTTGTGTGGTTGGCTGGTTGCAGATCGGCGAGCGTCACGTGTTGGGTGCGCTGAGCGGCGGGGTGGACTCTACTGTGGCGGCGGCCCTGCTGCACAAAGCCATCGGACACAAGTTCCATGGTACGTGTGTGTGTGGGTGCGTGGGTGGGTGCGTGTGTCTCAGAATGAGCTTTCGGTGTTTTGGTGTCTTTCTGTGTATTCTCGTGTGTGTGTTCTGTAGGCGTGTTGATTGACACTGGTTTGCTGAGAATGCACGAGGGGCCGGAGGTCATCCAGAGGCTCAAACAGTGAGGAGCAAACCAGACACGGCAGCCAGCCAGCCCAGCCCGTCTAGATGTGTGTATGTTATGTGTGTTCTGTAGGCACATCCCCGGCCTGCAGGTGGACTGCATCGACGCCACCCAGGAGTTCTTCGACGCACTCAAGGGTACGTACCTACGCACCCACCCACCCACGCACACAGGCAGGCAGGCAGGGAGGCATCGACCAGGCCCACAACACAGATGCACACCAACAGACAGACAAGCACAGAGAGAGAAGTGGAAACGTATCGCATGTATGTTTGTGTGTCTGTCTGTCTGTCTGTCTGTGTGTGTGTGCTGGCAGGTGTGACCGATCCCGAGAAGAAGCGCAAGATCATCGGGGGTCTGTTCATCGAGTGCTTCGAGAAGGCCACCAAGGAGCTACACCTTCCCGTAGAAGGCGGCTTCCTCCTGCAGGCACACCACACCACACCACACACACCTAGACCTCCCCCCCTCTCTCTCTCTCAACACACACGCGCCCATATGCTGATGCGCCTCTCTCTGCCTCTCTGTGTGTCTGTCTGTCTCTCTCTGTGTGTGTGTGTGTGCGCAGGGCACACTGTATCCTGATGTGATTGAGTCGATATCGTTCAAGGGCCCCTCGGCGACCATCAAGACGCACCACAACGTGGGGGGCCTCCCGGCCAAGATGAAGCTGCAGGTGCTCGAGCCACTCAGGGAGCTCTTCAAAGGTAGGTACCCTCGCTGACACGATCGTAGCCTCTACTGCCTGTTCCTGTGCCTGTGCGTGTATGGATTCCTTCCCCGTGTGTTGTGTGGCGGTGTGCAGACGAGGTGCGCGCATTGGGGATGGAGCTGGGCATTGACCGCTCGTCTGTCTGGCGGCACCCCTTCCCCGGTGAGCCACCTGAGCGGAGCGTGCCTCGATCCATCCACTCATGCTCTATGATATGATGTTGTTGTATGTTTGTGTGTGTGTCAGGTCCTGGGCTGGCCATCCGGATCCTCGGCGAGATCACCCGAGAGCGGGCTGACATCCTGCGACAGGGTTCGTGTGCACCCAATGCGCACACTCTCACAGACAGATACTCACTCTCACAGCAACGATTGTCTGTCTGTCTGTCTCGTCTGAGTGCAGCGGATGACATATTCCTGGATGAGATCCGCAAGAGCGGCGACTATGACAAGATCGGTCAGGCCTTTGTGGTGCTCCTCCCAGACGTCAAGTCAGTCGGCGTCATGGGCGACTCAAGAACATACGAAATGGTACGGTACCATCTCAGACATACACACACTCACACAGACGGCCGCAAAGGGGGAAGTGGATGTGCCGTGCTGCGTGTGTCAGGCGTGTTGCATCCGTGCGGTGGCGACGAGCGATTTCATGACGGCTGACTGGTACCACATGCCCTACGATGTCCTGGTCAGCCACACACACACACATACAGAGAGAGAGAGAGATCCATATGTCTTGTGTGTGTGTGTGTTTGGATCAGGCGCGTTGCTCGAGCCGCATCATCAACGAGGTGACAGGCATCAACAGGGTCTGCTACGACATCTCATCCAAACCACCAGCCACCATCGAATGGGAATAACTCAACAAACACCTCACACACTTAGTCACTTACACAGACAGGCATACAGGCCATCTCCATCTCTCTCTCTCTCTCTCTCTCCATCCATGTCGCTCTCGCTCTGTCTGCGTACGCCCCGCCCATACATATGCGCACGACCGACACGCCACAGCTCTTTTTTCCTCAGCTTGCTGGCTGCACCACACCCACTTGGCTGGCTGAGCTGATGTGGTGTGGCGGTTGGTGTCTTCTCCCTCCACCCCTCAGCCGGTGCTGGTTGGTCATTTCCGTGGTTTTTCGTACCCTCCTGGATGAATGGATGGATGGATGACTGTGAAGGCGTGAGTGTGTCGCATCGTTCAGGAAGGAGCGATCTCTGTGTGCGTGTGTGTGTGTGTGTGTGGCTGCTGTGTCTCGTGCGAGTGAGACGAGCGAGCTTCTTGACGTGGTGTCATTTGCAGCTGTCATGACACACACAGTCCAGGGACAGCCGAACCAACCCTGCCTCTGACTGACGGTGGCCATGACATTACCTGTGTGTGTGCACGTGGTCTTTCCGTCCAGAAAGCTCTACAAGTGCCCCGGATCTATCTCTTATACACCCACCCACTCAACTCACTCACACACACGCACGCCACGCGTCGCGTACCCATAAACTGCTCATGTCCATCCATCCATCCATCCATTCGTCCCGCACAGCAAAAAACAGAAGGCACAGAGAGCCTGCCTTCCCATCCAGGTCTCTCTTGTGTGTATGGTCTCGCTGACTCTCGCATGGCAAACAAAACCAGCACCAATCGCAGCTCTCAGCTCACGCCCCCCGCTCTCCTGCCTTAGTATATTATATACACAGCAATGGTACACATGTTGGTGGTGTGCACCACTCAGCTCGTGTGCGGGGGGTACAGGATTCCATCCATCCATCCATCCATCTCCATGTGCCCAGACACATGCCGATCATGAAGTCGATTGTGCCGGGTAGATATCAGCGTCTCGCGCAAGGATCTCTGTCGTCTCAAACGTCCTGCACACACACACAGAGGGTTTGAGCAGAGGCCAATCTTTCCGTTCCGTCCATCCATCCTTCCCCCTCAGCCCACTACCTGAGTGAAGGCCCATAAGTCCTGAATTTCCTGTCTGCCTGGTAGCGGCGCATGTCGGGTGTCCAGTCGAGTGATAGCGCCCCCGCCTCGCCCTCGCCGATCGACAGGGGGAAGGACAGCGTCAAGTGGCCGTTGAAGAACAGCTGTACCAAACAAACAACACACAGATCTCCGTTCAACGGACATTCTCTCTCTCTCTCTCTCTCATGTGTCTGTCTCATGTGTCTGTCTGTCTGTCTGCCTGTTTACCGACCTCAAAGTAGTTCTGGCCGATCCGCTCGGCTGGCTTGTCATAGAGACCGTGCCCCCATTCACCTGCACACACAACACCCATCCATCCATCCATCCATCCATATACGTGACCACAGTACAAAGATACAGCGCCTGCTGTTCGCGTGCGCATGAGTGATTGGTGGATTGGTGGATTGATGCCCACTGACTGACCGTAGAAGGCGTCTTCGTTGGCCAGAGGCGGCTCCCCGAGCCGCTCGCGGATGACCGCCAGCTGCCTCAAAGTCCACACTTTGCGTGGAGGTGTCCCTGTCTCTGTCTCTGCGTCTGTGTCAGGTGGTGTGCTCTCCCGTTGGAAGCCGAACACACCCCGCACCCTCCGGCCCTCTGACTTGATGCCGACCTGACGCGCACAACAGACAGACAGACAAGCAGACAGACACCCATATCAATCGCATGAATGAAATGCCATCGCCTCTCTCTCTCCCCTCGTTGCTTGGTTTACCTCCGTCCAGATGATGTCGTCTTGGCTGTTGATCTTGTCGTCGGCCGACGAGAGGATGGGTGCGAGGGGCACTGAGGCAGACTGCGGGGCGGGCACCCACGAGGGGGATGGGAACCCCGCCAGCGTGAACGCATTCCCAACTATCTGGACCGACCGACCGACACAAAGCAAAGGACACAGATGATGAAATACACCAGAGATGTACACCTGTGTGTGTGTGTGTGCATTTGACGCGCACACACACACACCTACCTGGTTGCCTTGTTTGGCCCGGAAGTCGTGTGGATAGTACACGACCTCCATGGGCAGGGGATAGCCCTGCCGGGCACTGCCGGCACCGCCACCGTCCTTGACGGGCACCTGGGACGACGTGATCCTCAGCAGTCGGTACCCCAGCTTCGGATCACTCTTGACAGCGATAGTCGTCTCTATCGACGCCGTCTCTGACACACAACACATACACACCCAGAGAGAGAGGGGGAGAGATGGATGGGTGGGTGCATGTGCTACATGCAGGTGAGCAAGTTGAAGAAAGCGGGCGGCCATGGTCACTCACTCACCGACCGTTTTTCAGTATGATGAATGGGGCGGGGAGGGGGGAAGAGGACGCTGCGGCGGTGGTGCCCTCTTCGCCTTGTTTCGCCTTGGCTATCTGGTAGATCTGGGCGACCCCATACCAGGTACCCACATGCTCCACCATCTTGTTGAACTTTATCACAGACAGACAGACAGACAGACAGAACAAAGCCGGCCGGCATGTGTCTGCATCTACTCGTCTGTCTATCTGTGCGCACCGAACCTGCCATGCGTCATTGTCGGCGAGTTCCCTCGCTCTCCGCCTCAGATACTCATCATCATCCAGCCCGTCGTACTCATCGCCATACTGCTGCAGCTGCTGCAGCTTGCCTCCTTCCCGTCTCTCTGGCCGCCTCCAGGGAAAAGCTGACCGCAGGAAGGTCCTTCTGCCGCCACACACGCTGGTTCTGCCGATGGTGCTGAGGAAGGCGCCGCTCTCGCACACCACTGCAATCAGCAGACATAGCAACACCGCCGCGCTGGACAGCATTGGGAGCCAGATCTCCTTAGCTAGTCTCGCAAACAGTGAGCTCGCAAAAGTGTGATGCTGCGACGTTGGGACGTGACGTGATGCTGCTGTGAATCCGCGACGCTGAATCCGCTGCTGCCGTGAATCCGCCGACATCATCCGTACAGTTCACATGAAACCGGATATGTTGCGACTTGATGAGTCTGTGGCCGAGTGGATCTTGCACCTGGATCAGCGCAAACACCAAGAGCAGCAGGGCACCACTGAGATGACGACGCATCTCGTTCAGCCGCATTGTGTGTGTGTATGTGTGTGTGTGTGTGTTTGTGTGTGTGTGCAGTGCGTCTGTGTGGTCGGCGTGGCGAAGAAGCACGAGGACGAAGGCAGACGCACTGACTTGATCGGCGCATTCGCGTGAAAGATCAGCACTTGCGGTAAGTATCATTCTGGATGTCGGGTGTGTGTGTGTGTGTTGTGACTGCGTGTGCCACACAAGTCCGATTGCTGCCATCATGCTACATGTACCCGTGCTTTGCTTTAGAGCCTGCCTGGTGGGCTCTCTCTCCCTCTCTTTTCTGCAGGAGAGGGTTATGGATGTACTTTTCCGCTACCGCAGCCAGAGGGAACTGTGGTGGTTTGATGTGCGCGGAGTGACGGTTGAGATACCGATCACGGTGGGTGGTCTCCGCGGGACCGTCTTCGAGCAGCTGAGAGCAAGAGGGTTTCCTCTGTGAGCATACACACATACATCCACGTGTTACAGTACATACTTGTATGTGTCTGTCTGGGTCGCTCTCTCTCCTCAGCCATTGTGGCTCCAACGAGCTGACTTTCCCCGAGGATGCGGACCTCAACGATGCCGATGACACGGCCATCGTCGACTTCATACTCCAGGAGTATCTGTCGCCGGATGACGGTGCGGTTCTCGTCGTGGAGGCACCCGACGGCCCACGCATCACGCGATACTTCAAGCTCGTTTGGGACACGACGACAAACATTGGGTTGGAAGACCACCAGAAGAACATCAACGCGCCGACAGGGGGTATATTCACACTGAAGTTCCGCGACGGCGCCAATGGAAGCCAGCTATTGTACGCCATCATGGACATGAGAAAAGAGGAACTCAGGTAATTAATTAGTCATGAGCACATTTATATCACTAGTTGGTCGTGTGGATGTCCACACTATGGTGGATGGAGTGTCGATGTGTGTGTGATGTGTGCAGGCACACCAACGAGGCCCTCGTGGGGTACCGTGACTTCATAGTAGGCTTTGGCTTACCCACCACTGCTGACACGTTCGGAGAGCTTGGGAGAGACCGGGACCATCCAATTATCGTCACCGCCCCGCCTCCCCCGATGCCGGCTCCCCCGAGCCCTTGTAACGAACACACACGCACACACACACACACACACATCCTCTCAATGCCACTGCTTGCGCGTCTCTTTGTGTGTTCTGCCTGTACGTTGTGCCTGCAGCGTTGTGGCAGCGCTGCGAAGACTGCATGCGGTAATCGTACAAGGGGACACATCGAGTCCATCTCACCTGTCATTGACGCATCTTCTCGTGTCTGCAGGTCAACATTCTCGAGTATCTTCGGCTTCCAACAAAGGAGTTCTTCGTCGGAGGAGTCGGCTACCTCTGAGCCGCTGATTAATCAGCCGGCGAATGATGTGAAGGCATTGCTGATGAATCGGTGGTCCATCGATAGTCGGTGGATCCGTAGGTGGTTCACAGGGCATAGGGGGATGACGTGAGGGAGGGGGTTCTCACTCACACACAATGTGGACGAATCAAGTACATGGGTCCGCGCCTGCGTGCCTTCTCGATCACCGGCTCCGCGTGTGTGTTATTTATGGGGCCACGACATTGGATGATTGTTTGTCAATCGGTGTCACCCATGTAACTCATGCACCACCCACCCACCCACCCACCCCCTCACACACAGACAGACAGACAGACAGACGTGTATGTCATTGAATGTCTCAGCCAGCCAGCTAGCCAAACCGCTCCAAGCCACATAGACACTGGTGACACAGACAGACAGACAGACGAGCGACAGGAGAGCTGCGCATCGACCGGGCCCACCAGCACCACACACACAAAAGCGCACACACAGCATCCAGTGCACTCACCCGCCAAACGGCAAGCCGGGCAAGGAAGGACAGACAGACAGGAAGACAGGCAGGCAGGCAGGCAGGCGCTGCCAGGTAGGGAGGAGTAGAAAGAAAGAGAGTCGGGCAGCCCATCCATCCATCCATCCATCTCATGGTCCTAGGAAAGCCGCCCCATTCTCTCTCTCTCTCGTCTCTCTGTCCCTCCCTCCCTCCCTCCCTCTCTGTTCAAATCAGCCAGCCAGCCGCATGTCATGTTGACACCCACTAGTCGCCCAGCCCCACACACCCACACACAGGGGTGACTGATTGATCAGGCAGACAGTCAGGCAGGCAGGCAGGCAGGATCTCTGAGATCTGTCTGTCTGTTTTTGTGTGTGTCTGTGATGCCGTCCAGCCATAACAGAGGGAGTTTGTGTGATTAGGGGCGGGCGGGCAGGCCTTACACATGCACACACAGCACACCCAGGTACACACAACAGCAGCTTGGGCAACACAAGAGGAAGCGCTGGTGGATGTGTGTCTACGCCCATCGGTCGGCTGCCAAATGAAGAGACAGACAGACACACACACAGACACACAGACACACAGGATGAACCACTTTGTGTGTATCTTGTTGCACTTGTCTCTCTCTTTCCCCCAATCTCTCTTTCTCTCTCTCTTTCTCTCTCTCTCTCTCTCTGTGTGCGTGCGTGTGTGTTTGTGTGTGTGTGTTCGGCTGGTGGACATTTGTCTATATGCACCCGGCTATTTCAACGAGGCGTCGAGGCCGAGACAGTGGCGGGCCGTCCGGTGGCAGTCACACCGCCACCACCAAAGACATTCATCGAATTCGTCAAGTCAAGAATGGCCAGGCAGCGAGGGACACCCTCCTCTACGTCCCTTGTTCTGTCTGGCTTGTGTGTAGGTTGAGGACCAGGGCTCGCTCCTCAAGTTGACGGACCGCAAAGGAGATAAAGGTGGCCGCCTCGCAGTACGCTTCCTAATGGCCGCCAGGCCGACCACCAGGACGATACCGAAGCCGAAGGGCCGCGGCTTTTGGACCAGTGCGTGGCTTCTGGGTGCACGTTCAGGTCAGATGCCCACACAAACTCTCTCAACTCAAAGGGCTGTCAGATCAGTGTCATGTTTGCTTGTATGCGTGTCTGTCTGTCTGTCTGTGTCAACGGATGTGTGCACCGTGCCTGTCTGCACAATGCCATCATGTTTTTGTTGTTCGAGAGGTTTTTGGGCAACGTCTGAGTGTGCCTTCGATCTCGGCATCATGTCGGGTGTAGATAGATAGACATTCAGGTCTCCCTCCCTATGTGTGTAGTACCGAGGAGTTGTATGTGTTGTGTTTCTGCCTGTAGCGTGCATTGCAAATGAGTGCACAGCGAGAGCTCTTTGAGGGAAGATGCATGTCCATCCGTCCGTGTTTTTGTTCTTTTGGTGTCAGTCAGCCAGTCATCAGTCATTGTCCATCCACACCACACCGCACCCGGCCTGCCTGCCTGCCTTGATCCACTGACTGACTGACGTACATGACACACCCACCCACCCAGATGCGATCGATGCATGGAGTACGCAAAGAAATGAATGGGGCTGCCTGCCGGCTGCATTCCACGGTCTCTCTCATCCACGGTCTGCGGGTCTGCCCAGGAGTTTGTACGTCAAGGGCGGCGATTCCTTGGCACCCCAGAGGAGGATCTGACAGACAGACAGGGACCACACACAGCCCACGTGTGTGTATGTGACAGAAGCACGCGCACGTCTGTCTCTGTGTGTGGATGGAATAGTGTTGACATACGAAGTGCTGCTTTTCGAAGCACAGAGGCTCGCCCTCCTTGTCCTTGGCCATGGTCGAGGCTGCACACAGTATGCACCACACAGACGACAAACAGCAGCCAGCACGGTTTACCGTGCCGTATCGATGCGCAGAACCATGTATGTATACACAATATGTAATAGCATATGCACGCACGTTCGCAGGCCTCTGTCGCGGATGGGCTGGTAGTGGCTGATCGGCAGTTCCCTATGCCATAAGCCGAGGGGCCGTGTTTTGCATCCACGAATCCGAATTCGAGAACTAAGGCAGGCAGGAAATGAGTACAATCAATCAATCAATCCCTATGGGCGTGCGCGTGCGCATACCGCATGTGTGTTTGTCTGGACACCCCTCGACGTCTCCGTACTGTTTCGTGACGTCGACATCCCACTCTCTGGTGGTTTTGTCTGTCGTTTTGGGCTGGCATCACAAGTGCATACGTTATCCATCAATTGCATGCTGCATGTCTCTCACTTACCGAGCCCAGTATCCAGCGCATCACGCAAGGCGTGGGTTTTCCAGCACCTTGGGCGACAAGGGGTCTGCCTCCGTGGGGATGGATGAAGCTGCCGCCGCCCACCGCACGCCCGGCGGCCAGACAGAAGAGGAGCGATGCCAGGAAAACACCGGCCATCTCTTTTGCTCTACTTTGGCTCGCGCAATTAACGCACGTCTCTCTTTCTGTCCAGTGCAGACCGCTTCCTGCTTCGCTCAGGCACGGGATATCGATTAGAAGAATCGGAATACGGAAGAATTGGGATGTCAGGACGAGACGCCAAGTGGGGGTCGGGTCGCCCCCTCATGCATGCTTGCATGCCAACTCATCTTTGCTTGCTTGCTTTTTGCTGTGGCTCGCCCAGTGGGCAAGAAGCGTCCGATCAGGGTTTGTTACTGGCCGTTTTTCTCTGTTCGCTTCCAAGCTATGTAGCTTGACACACTGAAGCAAGGCGAGTCAGTGAGGTTGGTTGGGAGAGATAATCATTCCCTTCCGTAGAAGCGCTCACCGCGCCCATTGGCTTTACTCACTGATGCGCGGACTCTGACTGCCTCGTGAATGATGGTTGGGAGCGTGCTTGAGATCGGAAGAGCCACCTCGAGATCTGCTGGAGCACACGCAAGGTGAAATCTCAAGGTAAAGCTTCCCAATGGCCCCCAGGCCCACCACCAGGACAATACCGAAGCCGAAACGCATCATGGCGACTCGACTAAAGCTCCGCAGACGGACGGACGGACGGACGTCAGGAAACCAACGAACGAGGCGTGACGCTTGTTAGAAAACTTGGGATTTCCCGCGAAAGTCGTCCTGGCCGCGTGGCTACGGCCTCCTCTGGTCTTGGCCGACTGGCTGCCTGTGTGCATACACCTCCGTGATCATGTGTGTGGAAAGAGCGCTTCACCTTTTGTCAATAATTGATTGATGCGTCCGTGCGTCCCTCTCTCTCTCACCATTATGGACGCACACGAATATGCACTCCGGCCGGTATAGAACGCGCCGCACGACTGTCCCTCTCTCTGATGTGACTGACGAATGTGCACCCACCTCCCTTGACGTACACAGACAGACAGGCCATCCATCCATCCATCCATCCAGTCTTCTCTGTGCTGTCCATACCGTCGGAAATGACAGAGAGCGGCAGACCACAACACGCCACACCACACAGACACAGACGGGGTGAACACATTTCAAAACCCATCATTCGGTCACGCAGGCAGGCAGACAGCCAGGCGGAAAGGAAAAAGCTGTTGCTAATTCCCACGCACGAGCCAAGAGGCAGCAGCGAACATGCCTTTTGATCTCTCTCCCTGCCTCTCTTCGTAGTCGCTGTGGCATGGGGAGGGGCAGACAGACAGACAGACCCGGAGAGAGAGAGTTTGGCACGCCACACAATACATGTACACCTCTTTTCAAAATCAATCAGAGAATGCCGATGAGTGTGTGCGTCTTGTGTCACGCTAGCCATGCCGACGCACGCCATCAATTAGCTATAAGGACGGTAAAACGAACACACACACACACACAGAGAGAGAGAGAGAGAGATCCATATGTCTTGTGTGTGTCTGTTTGGCTGTGTGTGTGTGTGTGTCTGGATCAGGCGCGTTGCTCGAGAGCAAGGAACAAAGGAGAGACCACACACTCACACCCAGACAGGAAGGCAGGCAGACAGACAGTCAGGCAACACGTGGATGCACTCACCCCCGAAGAAAATGCAGCCACGTTCCTCCCCTCTCTCTTTTGCATACAAGTCACCCACATGGGTATGTAGCCATCTCCCTTACACCCCCCCATGCAGGCAGACAGCCAGGCAGCGATAGAATGGTATATGCTCAGCATGTGTGTGTGGGTGTTTGGCGCAGCGCCACGTGCTCACTACTTCTTCCAAAATGACTTCTTCTGCTTCTCTCGCACGCAGAACTTGTGCGGCCATCCAAAGACATCGTCTTGTTCAATTCGCGTGCACACCTTCTGTGCGTCCTGGTCAGAGAGGCAGATGCCCCTGACGGCCGACTCAGCGTAGCTAGTGCGGCGTATGTCTATCACACAGACGGGCTCCTTGCCGCCGCATTCTGGCCAATGGACGACGAGCAGCCCGTCTTCATTCTTACCCACCGAGCACGGGTCCTCTTTGATGGTCGCAACTGCAGACAGACAGCGTACCCCCGGCTACCCCTGTAAAGGTACGTACGGTGTGTGCGTGCCTTTCTGCGCGCTGCCGGCTATCGCGGCGATCTGCCCCAGCGCATTGGTGATGGCTTCCATGGCCGTGGCAGTCAGTTGCTGGGCGGTCGTGTGCATGTGATGAGCGGCCGTGAGGGTGCTCTTGGCGTGGTCGAGCTGCAGCTGCACCGATGACATCTGCTGGGCCTCCAACGCCACGGACATCTCACCGCCTGCAGCCACCCATCGAACACATCAACCAACATCAGTGAACACAGACAGATCCGACGAATGAGTCCACATATCGGACCCGGCCACCTACCGAGCTCTGCAGCCAGCCATAGATGGATCAGCCATCCAGCCATCCGACGGACAAAAGAAAAGCAGAAAGAAAGAGACAGCATGGCAGATCTGCCACCGTTCGATGGTCGGTTCGGTGTGGGTGTGCCCCCCTGTGGCTTACGTCGGGCATAGTTGCGCTGAGCCGCCAGCAACGGCTGCACAATGGCCGCCAGGCCCACCACCACGACCATACCGAAGCCAAAACGCATTATGGCGGCTTGGCTAAAGCTCCGCAGACGGACGGACGGACGGACGTCGGAATGAACCAACAAACGATGCGTGACGCTCGTGAGAAAACTTCAGATCTCCGGGGGATTTCCGGCGAAAGTCCGCGGGGAGTATCGTGTGGGCCGGGCCGGCCCCCGTCTCAACGTCTTACAGCCCACAGCTGCCTGCCACTGGGGGCTTTGCCACAAGGCCTTGTGACGCAACGCCTTGCACCAGGCCAGGGACTCCGAGCGCCGCACAGCCTGCCGCCTTAAGGTCTCCTGTCCCGGAAGCCTCTCTGGGTGTCCTGTCCCTGACTGAGCGTCCCTTCACCATTTGAGTTGCCTGCGGCTTTCGAGACGGTGAGCGAGACGAGGCGGCCGGGGGCTGACTGCCACGCCGTCACAGTGTGCCATTAGCATGGGATGGCTCTGTTCCGTTTGGTGCATGTCATTGCAGATGGCATCCGTCGTGCCGGCCCTTCTGTTTAAGGCCCTGGTGCTCGCCTCCTGCGTCGCTCTGGTGACATGCAAGAACCTCCAGCCTGAGCCGTGCAAGGTCCAGCTGATACCCCACTACACCGAGCTCAAGCGATGCGAAGTGCAGCCTTCGGATCGCACGGAAATCGAAGGAACGGTGAGACGTCGCAGAAGATGGCCTTACGACGCTTCTGTGCCGTCTGTACACAGGCACAGATGTACGGACACATCATTCCTGGTAGTGACTGCCCACGCAAAGAGACCTGTGTCGTCAACAAGGTGAGCTAGGAATCGATAGATGCGGGAGCGTTTCATATCTGCCCTTCCGCTGTCTCTCCGGACGACAGATACGGGTGACTCAGCGACAGGGTGTCCAAGGAGTGGGCACATGCGAGAAGTTGGAGACAGCGCCTTCCGATGAGGTGGCCAAACACTGCAACTCAGCTGGTGTCATGCTGCTTCCGTGGAGGACGCCAAGGACGTGGTGCATGGCCGCCAAGGAAGCAGCATGACACCAGCTGAGTTGCAGTGTTTGGCCACCTCATCGGAAGGCGCTGTCTCCAACTTCT